CTAGGACGCCGTCTAGGCGCCCAGGACGCTGTCTAGATGCCCAGGTCGGCGTCTAGGCGCCCATGACGCAGTGCAAACGCCCAGGTCATCGTTCAGGCGCCCAGGACGCCGTCTAGGCGCCCAGGACACCGTCCACTGCAGCAAGCCGGCTGCGCTCTACGCACACCCGACAACGAAGTCGGCTGCGCCCAAGCGAGGATGGGGCCAACAAACAACTCCCGTTGACAGATGCGTGTGCACCAACAGAAGTACCTGGATGCCTTAGCTGCTGATCTTGGGCAGAGTGAAGGCCATGTAGCTACTCCCTTTCCCTCTGGGTTCAAGTGTGTGAAGGGATCAGATGAGGAGAGCGTTGGCGAAGAGGAGAGGCACCGTTTTCACTCGTTGGTGAGCAGCCTCGTGTACGCGGCGGTAAACACCCGACCAGACGTCGCTTTTGCTACCGGGCAGCTGGCTAGGGTTGTTCAATGCCCTACTGAGGAGCAGGTAGCAGCTGGAATGAGGGTGGCCAAGTATCTTGGCCAAACAGCGACGGTTGGGCTGCAATACTCGGCGGTTGGTGCAACCCCATGGTTTGCACTCAGCTTGTTGTCCGTGTGCGTGCATGCGTGTATGCATGGAATGATATGAGGGCATGAGATAATATATATTACATGCTTATAATAGTGTGTGAATTATGAGTCATGATGTCGAATGTCTGTGTCAAGTCAATAGCGAGTTATTGCTATTCGCGTGTCACGTCGTCGTTTGTGTGTCGTGCGCGCTTTCTATTTTGTCCAGTGTCGAACGTTCGGCGTGTCGCAATTGTGAGCAGCAGACATTCAAGAACTCAAGGATGAGTTCATGGTGAAAAACCAGAGACTTGGTTTCAAGATCCAAGTGATTTCGAAGCTCGTCAAAAGGGTAAAATTCAAGATAGTAAGAATAGGTACATTACAATGTCTAGTGTAACGTTCCTTTTGGTGTAGGCCCTTGTGGAGGGTAGTTTCGAGCCCTTTCATGGTTGGGACAGTGTGGCACTGCTCCACATCACTGTACCTTGGCTGTTGGGGTTTGTAGATGCTGGGAGTCATTCCCAACTCGTAACCCTTCCTAATTTGTGTTCTAAGAATATAGTGGCGGTCATAGTGCGGTTCGTTCAAACTGATGTTGCGGTCATAGTACTTGATGAAATCATGCGATGTAAATTGCCTATTGTAGCTGACATCAAAAAGCTTTAGATCAAATTTAAAGCAGGTCATTTAGAGCTGTGACCTGAACGCTATGAATGTTTGAAGCAGCTAAGCAGAAATTCAACTATGCACTCTATCATTTGTTTTAGGCACATTTGAGCCTATTGTTACAATAACAGATGCCACTTGTCGCTGCAAGTAAGTCAGCATCTCGGGCTAGTAGTAACATCACTGCAATTGCTGCCATGTTTACTCTACTCTAAAATGTCATGAGGTAACTCCGTCGTGTGCCTCCTATAGTAGTAACTCCCGCAGTAGTTTGTAGCCCGGTACCCAGATGCGGTCCGTACCGGCTTTTACGTAATAAATCGCTTTTGCTGGTGCGAACTGCTGTGAATTTCCTCCGGTGAAGAATGGATCTCTCTGGTAGCCGTGGGTAAATAGTCCTGTAAATATTGGGCAGGTCTGGGCGAGTAGTATGGCGTGTATTTGGGCAGTGGGGCGGGTCAGTGTGTCGGCGATGTTCGAGGCTCCTTTTTTGTAGGTGACCGTGTAATGGAAGTTGGACTCGGGGAAGTCGGGCCAGCGGACCTGTCCTGGGTTGAGGTGGGGTTGTGCGCGGAGGTACTGTAGTGATTTGTGGTCCGTCCGTATTGTCACGTCTGCGCCGATCAAGTAACATCGCCAAATCTTGAACGCATGCATGATCGCGAGCATTTCGAGGTCGTGTATCGGGTTTTTTCTCGGGCGGATGCAGTTTTTGTGATTCGTATGCGATGGGCTGTAGGCTGTTGCCGAAGTCCTGTAGAATTACTGCTCCAATGGCGATGTCTATTGCGTCCGTAACCACTTCGAATGGGCGGTGTGGGTCGGCAATGCGCAGTACGGGTGGGGAACAGAGAATAGTTTATAGGGCAAAGAAGGCATGCTCTTTCCCCCCCCACGTAAAAGCGACCCCCTTCCGCAGTAGATCCGCCAGTGGGGCAGTTAACCATGCCATGTCGGGGACAAACCGTCGCACATAATTAACGAACCCTAAGAAACTCTGCAGCTCCGTGATATTTGTCGGGGGGGTGCCACGCTTTTACCGTGTCCAACTTCTTTGGGTCGGTCTCCACTCCAGCCTCCGAAATGACGAGCCCCATAAATTCTAACCTGTCCTGAAAAAACTCGCACTTGGAACCCTTGGTCAGTAGGTGATGCTTGTTTAAAACTTTAAACACTGCTTCCAGATCTGCTAAGTGCTGCTGCTTGTCGCGACTGTAGACCAGGGTGTCGTTGAGGTAAACTATCATGCATTGATCTAAAAGTGGCCTAAATGCTTCGTTTATGGTCATCTAAAAAGTCGACGGTGCGTTGGTCAGCCCGAATGGCATCACAGTGTACTTGAATGACACATATCTAGTCCTAAAATCTGGTGGCAACCTCCCCGCAGGCCGATTTTCGAGAAAACCCGTGCTGTTCGCGGTTGATCTATCAGTTCAGTGCACGGTAGTCAATACACATGCGAAACCCTCCGTCTTTTTTCTGTGTGAACAGTATCGGTGCAACGAACGGGGACGAACTCGGTCGAATGAACTTTTTCTCCAGTACGCAATCTAGCTACTTCCTCAGTTCGTCAAGTTCGGGATGAGTCAGTCGAAACTGTCGCTGCACGGTTGGCTGTGCCCCCTGTTCTAACTCTATACGATAGTCGTATGCTCGCTGAGGTGGCAGTCCCTCCGGTAGATCGTCTCGAAAAATCTCCGGGCACCGTTCTAGTAGTTCCTGTAGTTCGAGCATTACGGCTCTCAGCAGTTTCTGAAAATCACTTGGCCGCTCCGCTTCTCCTACTACCGTGATGTCCACTGTGTACACGTCAGCTCCAGCGGCGACAACCCGTTTCAACATGATGGCGTTGACGTGGACCGTTGAAGACTCAGGCGACAGCCAGCGAGGTAGTTCGGCCCAGTTACCACCGCTTTGCACAGTGCAGCTACCTGTTGTCCAGTCAATTCTTGGGTTCTATCGTCGCAGCCAATCACGTCCCAGTAAAATGCCGTGCCCATTCATTGTCGTCACGAGCATTTCCTGTGTAAACCCGAAATTTCCCCCGAAGCAAACCTTCACTCTCTCCACTTTCTCCTGTATACCCAGTGGCATGCCGTCAATTAAGCATGCATCGATCTCCGGTAAGCAGCGGTTAAGTGTCAACTACAGCATTAGTGCCGTCGCGGTATTAACTAAATTATGACTTGCTCCCCCGTCGATAAAAATCTTCACTGCCCTGTATTTTCCCATGAATCAGTATTGGGCAATCTGTTGCTGTACCCCTTATTCAGCCAAGCCCGATCGATTGCGTGAATTGGTACTGTGACTCGGTGAGGGTCAGTGAGGTCCGGCGAGCAATAAGTCTCGTCAGTAGTGGGCCCGTACTCTACTGACTGTTGGCATTTTGCCTCCCAGACTCCCTCCCCTGCTCTGCTCCACATCGTCTTAGCTCCTCTGGGCATTCGCTCTTGCGATGGCCCGGCCTGTTGTACGCAAAGCAACGCCCTTTAAACGGCGCGGCAGCTGCATTCGTCGCAGCGGTGTGTACAGTAGCGTGCTCGGTCAGTCCTCGAGGGCGATGTCCATAGTAGGACCCCGATCTCGGGCAGAGTAGGATGTCGGTTTCTCCGCTAGCGCCAAGATTTCGTAGTTCGAGATCCCGCAGAGAAGGATTTTTTTCGAGATTTCCGGCTTCAGGCCGTCGACGTAGCGACCCACTCGCTCCGCTTCGTGCATGTAGCCGACTTGCTCGCACAGCGCGAGAAAACCGTTGGTGTGGTCTTGAACCGACCCAAGCTGTCGCCAAGTGCGTAGCTTGCTGAAATCGAGGCCGGGATTGGCTCGAAGCGCGTTCGAAGCCCTACGCACCACGCGTCTCACGTGCTATATTGGGCTGTCTCGCAGAATGAAATCCAGGTGACGGCTGGGCCCGCGGGCCCTTCCTCTTGAGACAGTAGCTCGTAGGCGCGTGGCGACGTCACGATGACTCGCCGCCAGTCCATGGCAGGGCCCCGCAGCAACGATACGGCGTACCGAAACTTCGCTGCATCCGACGTGACGTAGTTCGCGTAAAAAAACACGTTCATCGTGAACTCCCACGATTGAACCGTCGGACCTCCATGCTGGCTTGGATCGAAGCAGGGCGGGCGCTGCGGCTTGAGTGGCATCGGCTCACCAATAACGTCGCTGCCGGCTCATGTTGTAAATCCGACGTGACGACGAGCCTCGCGAGGTGCATTTACATCCGGTGTAGTCCTGGCTCTCTCCATGCCCGGCATAGATTGGGCGGCGCCATCGCTGGCTGCGCCTGAGCGCTATCCCACGCTGTCGTGCTGCGATGGTGTGCCGTATGTGATAATAATCGGCTCCTCCGATTGTGCAGGTGCATTGGCGGGTGCTGGTGCTGGTGCGTTCACCGTTGATTGCTATCAAGCGACTCGCGTTTCGCCATGAGCGTCGCGATTTTGAGCGTCGATTCCTCGAGCTGGCGCACAAGTTGGTCGAGGCGCCTTGCGTCAATGTCGCGAGGTTAAATTCTGCCATGGCGGGGGTGTCGGGCGAGCTCAGCGAGAGCCTCAGTCCTGGAGAGGACCCGCCTTTTGACCCAATTTATTATAAGACCCCCCCTCTTCCCAAAACTCTGGGTTTTAAGCACTATTTCAATTATTTTACTTCCACATCTCGAGACTACAGTTAAGTTACATTACTAAACAACGACACAATGTTAGATGCTACAATACCAGCAAGCTACCACCCGCAGGCACTAACCACCGCTAACCTACCTACTGCTACAGCATGCTACTCCTCCTCCTCCTCCTCGCCGTCCAACTCCTCCATATCGTCGTCCTCCTCTGGTGCCTCCTCGTCCCGCTCCTCCTCCTCCTCCTCCTCCTCCTCCTCCTCCTCCTCCTCCTCCTCCTCCTCCTCCTCCTCCTCCTCCTCCTCCTGGGCAGTGGCGTACATGGGGTTCACCCACTCCTCCACATCCCCCGCCGCGTGCACGTCGTCGTGCACCTCCACTTGAGCTCCATCGCGCATGTGCGCAAGGATCAAGTGATCCTCGCGCCCATCGGGGTTGTTGGTGATGCCGCATGTCTTGAACGAGCGGACAATGAGGTCCTTAGGGACAGCGGCCCAGGCCGTGGCGATCCACAGGAGCACCAACTCCGCTGGCGGCTTCCTGAGATTGCCTGCAGTGGTGAACAGGCACAGATGCGTTAGCATGCGGAAACTGTAGCTGGCGGTACAAGGGCGCAAAGACGGTAAGAAATTTCTTACCGGCGGGGGTCAAGGTGTTGATGCCGAAGTCAGCAAACCAGTCGTTGTACATCTGCCGAACGCCCGCCTTGAATGACCGATTGATGCTCACGTCCAGCGGCTGCAGAAGAGGCGTGCAGCCGCCAGGGATGATCGCTGGCGTGATGCGATGCCAGCGTAGCGTCCCCCGTACCGAGTCCGTCAGATGCCCACGGTATGAGTCCAGTACGAGTAGCGCCCGGCTGCGCTGTTTGCTTGGGGGGGGGTGCGTGTGAGGTACCAGCACATTCTGCACCCAGTCCTGGACGAGGCTGGAATCCATCCAGCCTCGTTCTTGCGCTCGAACGAGCATGCCTGCACAAAGAAAGCGCATACTGTCAGAGGGGGGCAAGCATGCACAAGACAAACCATGTGGCGAACAGGGACGCACGCAACAACTGACCTGGCGGGACACGGATGTTGGGGATGGTCTTCCGCTTGAAGATCACCATCGGCGGTAGCTTCACACCCGTCCCCGTGACCGCCTCACGGTCATCCATGATTTCTCGTAGCCGGCACTCCGAATGTGAACCGCGCGCTCGCCACGATGCGCCAACGTCCTCTCGTGCGGCATCTCGAGGAACACCGGGGTCTGGTCGGCGTTGATCACGTTCCAGGGGTCGATGCCGCCGCGGACCACTTGCCTCCTGCAGAACTTCCAGAAGCTTTCACACTTCGTGTTGCAATCTGCACGTAAACATAAAAGACAGTCACCCACGGTTGAGTGAGTTATTGTAGAGCAATAAAAATATCCGCTTATTACTTTTACGCACCTTTAGTAAGCCGCTGCCCGATCTTCGTCTTCACCCGCACGGTAAGTCCCCAGCGCCGCCGAAACCTGACCGTCCATCGAGGAGATGCGCGCCAGTCGACCTCAGGGTGCCGGTTCTTCATCGAAATCCGGCTCCACGTCTGCGCAGCTTAATCGGGACCGCCAGGCCCCGTGCCCCGTGGCTCAGGAACTGCTTATAAACGGAGCGTTCCATGTCAGGGTAGCGGGCATGCCGTCCGCCACCCGCAAGCCGCAAACGACTGCCACGCTGCCATCTCTTCAGCCGCCTTCCTCCAGCGGCGGATGCTGACAGGTTGAACGCCGACCAGCCGTGCAGTTTCGCGCACCGTCAGGATGTCATCCTTCATCCGCCTAAGCCAACCCGTCTTCTCAGCCATGGTGCGAGCGTGCCGCTTGTGCTGGTTAATCCTGTTGAGGGAATCGGGGGTTACTGCATCTCGTGCGACCGCGGCAGGGTTCACATCGCGCAGCACATCTGTGGGGAATCGGGGCAGAGGGAAAGGAAGGTTTTCACCAGTCGCTGCGACATCGTCGCTCCCCTCGTCATCCGTAGAAGACGCGTCAGGCTCCGTCGGACGAAGAAACTCTTCGCCGTCGTTCACAGGTTCGAAGTGGTAAGGGAAAGGGGGCAGGGGTGGCGCCGGAGGAGAGGGAGGTGCGGGAGGAGAGGGTGGAGCAGGCGGAGAAGGCGGGGCCGGAGGAGCCAGCGGGGCTGGTGGAGCCGGGGGTGAGTTCGCCATGGCTGCAAGGCCGCGGGCTGCACTGACGACCCGCATCTTCATCAGCATGTCCAGCGCCGACATGACGGCGTCTCTAGGGGAGTGCGGCCTAAACTAGCGGGAGAGAACATGGTGGCTAGGGGAGTCGAGGGGAGGCTTTCATCTCACCAAAAAAAAAAAAGAATGAGCCTCATCGACCCGGACTACCCCCCTCTGAAGCCGGGGAGGACAGGGATGTGAGCTGGAGGGGTTCACGTTCCCCGTGTCGCATGCAATCCAGCTGTGCACGGTGGAACGTTCCCGAACCCAACACAGGGGGGAATTCACGTTCCCCGTGGCGCATGCATCCCTGCTATGCACGGTGGAACGTTCTCGAACCCATCACCCCATCAGATGCAATGAATCTGATGGGGTGCAGGGTGAGTGGTGAATCCTCCAATCAGGAGCATGGGCGCTGCGCCAGCACCGTCTAGTGTTGCGGCCGTCATGCTTCAATGTGTGACGTGTGGCATGGGGCGAGGTGCGCAAAAGTTGCGATATGGTTCCTCGCTTACAGGCAAACTCGAATTCGCTGAGCGCAAAAAATGAATTTACTCAACACTCTCCCTTACATTCCATATTTCTGTAATTATTAGATGTCCAGCGGTCTTATGCACTATATGTCATTACTGTCAGAATCCTAGCTAGAACTTAGTAGCCATAGCTAGGGTTTAGGGTACACAAAAGAGAAAATGGAAGAAGGGGGTTGCACTAGCAAGAGTTGGGATACAAATAGCAAACCCCAAGTTGGGTTGTACTCACTACAGAGTACCCCACTGCAGGCTAGACAGCAAATACATTCTGACACACCCCCATAGTCAAAGTGGGGTATAATCAGCACAGCAAGCAGTCATAGTCATAAAGTGGGGTATAACCAGTACAAGCAAAGCTAGAGGCATTCACAAAGGGCAAGTGAGGAGGAGGAGGCTGGACTGTGAGAGGAGAGGAGATAGGAGGCGACGGCTGAAGCTGCAGACACACGGGCAACAGGAGCGGCGCGCACAGTGGCTACCGGAGCAAGGGCCCCGAACTACAGGAGTAACTGGCTCTGCGGCTAACTCTGAGCGGCAGGAGCAACGGACCCACGGGCGACAGGCGCAGCAGGCTCTCTGGGCTACCAGCGGCAGAGCCCCGGACTACAGGTGCTGCGGACGACAAGACGGCAGCCTCCGCTCAACCTCCCCCAACTGACCCACCCCCCTTTCACACACCCCTTGCTGCACCCCTAGCTCCACTCCCACGTCACCCCCCTAGCACCACTCCCTTGGCTCCCACACACCCATCCCCCTCAGCGGCAGCTGCAGCAGTGGGAGACGGAGGAGGAGGAGGAGCAGGGGACGATTCACACACCCGCCACCCCCATACCCGCCACCCCCATACCCCCAACGCAGGGCAGAAACGCGGGCAGGAGCTGGGGCGGCGTGTGAGCGGAAGCGGGGCGGCGCGCGGGCCCCCAAGGCGCCTCGACGAGCGACGGGAGGGGGCGACGCGCGGGCCCCCAGGGCGCCGCGACGGGCGACGGGAGGGGTGACGCGCGGCCCCCAAGGGCGCCGCGACGGGCGACGGGAGGGGCGACGCGCGGCCCCCCATAACGCCGCGACGGGCGACGGGAGGAGGGGGGGGGGGGGGGGGGGGGGGGGGGGGGGCAACGCGCTGGCCCCCAGGGCACCGCGACGGGCGACGGGCAGGGCAGCGCGCGGGCCCCCGGGGCTCCGTGTGAGGCAGTAAACCGCCGCGCGCCCTGGGGGCGCACGGCGGGCAGAAAACCGCCATGCGCCCCACGCGTGGCGGGAAGAAAAAACGCCGCGCGCCACGGGGCACGCGACAGACAGGATAGCAGCGGAAGCAGGTGGGCCCACAGGCCAAGAGCGTACTCGCTCTGATAGCATGTCAGAATCCTAGCTAGAACTTAGTAGCCATAGCTAGGGTTTAGGGTACACGAAAGAGAAAATGGAAGAAGGGGGTTGCACTAGCAAGAGTTGGGATACAAATAGCAAACCCTAAGTTGGGTTGTACTCACTACAGAGTACCCCACTGCAGGCTAGACAGCAAATACATTCTGACAATTACATAAGACCCCACAACCCATTTTGAGCACATTTAGGAGAAGACCCCCGGGTCTTCTAACCGGGAGATCACGGTAGTGGGGAAGCGAAAGTGTGGGCGCGGTTCGAGAAGAGATCGTAGACCCACAACCAAGTGTTACGAGTGCAATTTAGCGAGAGAGCGAGAATTGCACTATCAAAGCAAAACAATACAATGAGCGAACAATATATAGCGAAGCTAGCATGGTAACTGTAACGCGAGAAAATGGGGTGCGCTACGGGCCTAGCGCCGAGGTTGGAAAATGTCGAGGCGGAGGTCCGGAGCGCAGGTTACCAACCGAACCGTGGGGTTGGGTCGCGTCATGAACAGTGGCGGGAATAGTGGCCGTGGCTAGTGTCGCGAGCGGGTAACGTTTCAATGTTGGGTGCTGTTGGCGGGAACAGTCATGTACGCGGTAAGAAGGGGCGCGAAGTAAGGAAAAGGATTTTTCCTTATAGCTGCGCACTAAGGAATGCCTAAAAAAAATCCTTATAGCGACCAACCGAAATGACAACCAATTCGCCCACCTTTACCAGGAAATGCTGAGGGAAACCCTCAGCCGTGGTTCTTAGCACCTCCGCATAGTACCTCCGCGAGCAAGATGCTGACCCGAGCATAGAAGCAGGGATTACGCAGTATATTAGATCGCATTTCGGACCTCGTAACAGGTGAATTGCGACCAAGTTTGGCAGGGGATAACGCACATTAGGTGGCGGTTAAGGAATCGTCCACAGACGTGAACCGTCGCAACGCGATCGCTTGTTACGAGGTAGCCAGTTCTTAACATTCCGAAATGCGTACTTGTTTATCAGTGTACAACTACGGAACCTGGACACGAGACGGCGCATATTAGAATGTAAACGGGCCCGTGTCAACCACATTCTGGTTTGGCGATTTTCAATAGATCAGCGAGAGGTCACGACCAACGCTCACAGCCGCGATTGCCTACGCATCAACACCAGCCGCGCGAGAACCGAGCCCAGCCCTAGATGGCAACATCCCGTCACAAAAGGTTCGGGGAGCAGTAGCGACAAAAGCCCCAACACAGACCCAATCGTATAGACCCCCTAGTACGCATCCACGGCTACTTCCACGGCGACTTGCAGCCACCAACACTCACTCATGTCCGACCGCCGAACCCACGCCATTCATCCACATTCATGACCATGGAAACGGGCCTCTCCGGGCTGGAGCTTCACCCCGGACTGGATTCCAACATTTCACCTTTTTCCGATGCGGGAGAAGGAACGCAGACTGCGGCAACAGATTCGAGTGATGTTATCGAAGGCAGCGAAACAGCAGCAGGATGGGTGGGTCTAACTCAGGAAGGCTCATCTGCGGGTTCAGCAGCAGCGGCGGAGGGGAAGCAGCGAGCTATAGGCACGGTCCCAACCGCTCTTTCCAACCAGCCGCTCCCCCCACGCTTCCCGCCTCAGGCGCCGTCCGTTATGGAAGAGGTAATCCGCGCATGGGGCGCCGTGAGAACCGCCGCAGCAGGCGCCGCAGCTGCCGCTACAAGCGCGGTCATCCGCGCTCCCGCCACTGCTGCCGCTGCTCCTCCGCGGATCCCGCCTTCCGCGGCGCCTTCGCTCTCCGCCATGGCGCCGCCCGACGTGCCTCCCGCGCTGATCGCGGTGATTGAAAAGGCTCTGCAGGAGGTGGCGAGAGGTGCGAAGGGAGGAGAAGGGAGGGACGGAGGGACGGAGAGGCAGAGGGTGGGAAAAGGGGTGTTGCAGCTGCAGCGACTGGTGGCCGGGATGTGCCGATTGGAGGGGATTCGCGCGGTGGGAGGGGGAGACGCAGAGGCGCAGAGTGCAGGCGGAAACGACGAGGCGGAGACAAACGAGAGTGAGGGAGTGGGGAAGGGAGCGGAGGGAGGGAGTGATGCAGGTGCAGTGGGGCCGGAGGAACGAGACGCAGCTGCTGCGGTGGTGGTGGAAACCATTCTGGCCATCATGGGGTGCACGCACGAGGGGGACGACGTGCAGGCGGAGGAGGGCAGTGGCTGCAGCAGGGGCGCGGAGCGGCGGAGGAATGGCAAGGTGCCTGGGCCTGTCATCATGATGTGTGCCGAGGCCGCTGTGCTGGCCGCCGCGCTGCTGCCGTGGCTGCCATGCCATGACTGCTGCCCGCCTGGGGTCGCCGCCAGTGGACCAGTGAGTGATGCCGCAGCGAGGGAAGCAGCAGAGAGTGGAGATGGCGAGGAGAGTGCCAAGACAGAGGCAGGCGCAGCGGCAGGGGCAGCTGGATCGGGAACAGGTGCAAGGTGGGCGGCAGGGGCAGTGGTGGCAAGGTCCCCTCGCACACGCCTGGCACGGGTGCTGGCCACGGCGCTCTCCTCCTGCACGCGCAACCGTGCCATGTGCGCTGCTGCCCGCCTCACCTCCTCCCTCCTCGCCTCCCTGCGCATCATCCTCCTGGGTGGCGTGCGGGCCAATGGGTCGCTGCCACCTGGTGCTGCCCTGCTGGATGAAGCACCGTTGCCGGTGGAGCCGATTGGGAGCAGCGCAGGGGAGGGTGCGGGTGAGGGTGGTGCTGCGCTGTATGGTGCAGCTGAGGCTGCGTGGGATGCTCGGCCTGTGCTGGCGGCGCTGCAGTCTCTGGCGTCTCACTCCGTGTCCGTGGGCGAGCTGCGCCAGTGGATGGGGTCCGTTGTTGCTCTCACCACCTCTGCCCCCGCTGCCAACACCCCACCTGCCTCCATTGCATCAACAGGAACAGGGGCAGCCGGGATGGCAGGGGGAGGAAGAGGCGGAGAGAAGGGGGTAAGAGGCGGAGCAGGGGGAGGGGAGTGGGTTCGGCAAGAGAGGGCGGGTGCGCTGCTGGATGCGCTGCAGGGGGCGATGGAGGGGGAGGAGGTGAGGGCGCCCGCATACACCTTCGAGCTGGACGGCGAGAGCTCAGGGCTGCTGGGGCCCGGCGACAGCAAGTGGCCGTTTGGCAACGGGTATGCGTTTGCGACGTGGATCTACGTGGAGTCCTTTTACGACACCGAGAGCTCCGCTGTGGGCGCCGCTGCCATGGCCGCCGCCATCGCTGCCGCCGCCACCGCCAAGGTCGGCCGCACCTCCGCGGTTTCCGCTGCTGCAGCTGCGAGCGCGCTGGCAGGGGAGGGGCTGATGCACATGCCGTGGCTGTACAGCTTCCTGACGGCGGAGAGTGAGGGCGTGGAGGCGTACTTCCACCGCGAGTACCTCGTTGTCGAGTCCTCCACGCACCGCGGCTCCAAGAGCACATTCCACTTCTCGCACGCGTTTGAGGCGCAGCGCTGGTACTTCATAGGGCTGGAGCACGTGTTCAAGCCGTCGCTGCTCGGCAAGGCGGAGTGCCACATGCGGCTGTACGTGGACGGCCGCCTCACAGAGTCCCTCCCGCTCGACCTCCCGCGCATCTCCCGCCCGCTCGGCTTCCTCTGCATCGGCACCAACCCGCCCGCCGCCATGGCGGGGCTGCAGCGGCGCCGCAAGCAGTGCCCGCTGTTTGCAGAGGTGGGGCCCGTCTACATCTTCAAGGAGCCCATCGGCGCCGAGCGCATGATGCGCCTGGCCGCGCGCGGCGGGGACCACCTGCCGTGCTTTGGCGCGGGGGCGGGCGTGCCAGCGCTGGAGAGCAGCGAGCAGCTGATGCTGGCAGCCGATGATGCGTACAGCCTCGACTCCGACCTCGCCCCCCGCCTGCACCTGCTCTACCACCCGCGCCTCCTGCTCGGCCGATTCTGTCCGGACGCCTCCCCTGCCAGTGCTGCCGGGGTGCACAGGCGGCCGGCTGAAGTGCTGGGGCATGTGCATGTGGCGGCCAGGCACCGTGTGCCGCAGGCCATCTGGCAGGCGGGGCAGGGGGGGCCGCTGGCGCTGCTCACTCTCGCCATTCACGCCGTGCACCCGGACTCGTTCCTTCCGTTGCCACTGGCTCTCTCTGCGGATCCACCTGCTGCAGTGGCTGCAGCGAGGCTGCTGCCGCGTGTGCTGGGGCTGGTGGGGCGGGCCATGCGGCACGGCATGAACAGGGAGGAGATGAAGGGAGGGGCTCCCGCCATGCTGGCGCTCATGCTGGCATATGGGCTCAGTACGTGCGCCCAAGGGGGGGTGGCGGGTGGTGCTGGGGCGGGGGGTGGTGACAGTGCGGACAAGGAGGTGAGTGAGCAGCAGGGTGCAGCGGTGGCGGTGCGTGGCATGGATGGGGATGAGGCGCCGTACGACAGCCAGCTGGCGGCGGCAGCTGCAGCACTCACCATGGCACCCCGCTTCGGCGACCCGTTAAAGCCGCACCTCTTCCTGCACCTGCTGCTGCACCTGCCTCTGTGGGCCTCCTGCCCCCTGCCCGTGCAGCAGCAGGTGCTGTCGTCGCTGGGCGCCGTGGCAGTGCGCGAGCAGCACACTCTGAGAGCAGCAGGCGCGCTGCCCGTGCTGCTGGATGGGTGCCGGCGTTGCTACTGGGTGCAGCTGGAAGCCATCTCGCTGCCCCTCGGCCCCGCCTCCTCTCGCTCCGCCACTCCGCCGTCAATGAAGAGCCCGGGGGCAGAAGAGGGTGGTGGAGGAGCAGAGGTTGGGGGGGAGGCGAGAGAGCAGGAGGAGGGGGAGTGGGTGGCAGGGCAGCATGCGCGGATGGGCGAGGTGAACGCGCTGGTGGATGCAGTGATGGGCGTGCTGGAGGTGCTGCTCGCCACCAGCTCTGGCACCGCCATGGGGGCGGACATGCGCACACTCGTTGCCTTCCTGCTCGACTGCCCACACCCCAACCAGGTCAAACCTCAACTCTCAAACCTCAACTCTCAAACCTCAACTCTCAAACCTCAACTCTCAAACCTCAACTCTCAAACCTCAACTCTCAAACCTCAACTCTCAAACCTCAACTCTCAAACCTCAACTCTCAAACCTCAACTCTCAAACCTCAACTCTCAAACCTCAACTCTCAAACCTCAACTCTCAAACCTCAACTCTCAAACCTCAACTCTCAAACCTCAACTCTCAAACCTCAACTCTCAAACCTCAACTCTCAAACCTCAACTCTCAAACCTCAACTCTCAACCCTCAACTCTCAACCCTCAACCCTCAAACCTCAACTCTCAACCCTCAACCCTCAAACCTCAAACCTCAAACCGGAAGCCTACTCTTGCCATGCCATGCCCTGTGTCCCTGTGCTGTCACAATGCCCTCCTGTCCACTCCGTTTGTGAGCCATGATGCCTCACTCACTTACTGCCTTGTGTCCTCTTCCTCTTTCTTCTCAAGCGTGTGTGCCCCTGCTTCCTCTCCCCCTGATGCGCTCTGGCAGGTGGTGCGAGTGCTGCTGCTGGTGTACCGCCTCTTATCCCACCCCAACGCCGCCAGAGCAGCCGGCTTCTCCGTGCAGTTCCTGGCAGCGGGCGGCGCCCACATGCTGCTGGCGCTGCTGCTAAGGGAGAGCCAGTGGGGCGAGACGTGCCCCCTGCTCTTCCCCCCCGTGCCTTGTACGGCCCAGGCGGGCCGTGTGAAGGAGGTGGTGGGGGAGGAGAAGGGCGATGGTGGGGTGACGGTTGGAGGAGAGAAGGGCAAGGATGGAGGTGTGGCGGAGGACGGGGCCAGCAGTGTGGAGGGCAGTGCAGGGACTGGGGGCGAAGGTGCTGATAGCGCTGGCGTGGAGGGTGGAGATTCCACAGACAAGGAAGGTGCTCGATCCGCCTCAGAAGCAGCAGGCATGGCAGCAAGCGCAACAACTGATGCAGAAGCAGCAGATGCAAGTGGGTGTGGGGGAAAAGGGCCGAGTGCAGAGCTCAAGGTGCAAGTGCCACAAGGCAGCAGCAACAGCACCACTTCCCAGGCGCTCTCCCCCAAAGCACCCACCCCGAACCCCGCCACCCCCGCCGCCTCCACCCCATCCTCCTGGCAAGCCTTCTTCGACCCCTTTGGCACCCGGGCCGACCGCCCAGAGGCAGAAGCGAAAGCAGCGGATTGGCAGACAGCAGCTGCTGGCAGCAGCGGCGAGGAGGGGGCGAAGGAGACACGAGCAGGGGGGACGGACGGGGAGGCAGCAGGGGAGGCGAAGGAGGAGAGGGAGGAGCAGATCCCTGAGCCTCGAACGGGGCTGGACGTGGCTGGTGAGATCCTGAGGCGGCTTCAGCAGCGAGGGCTGTTCCAAGCGTCTCCCATGAGCATTCTCGCCCCGGGACCCGCCGGGAACAGCGTCACAGTGGCCCCCTCTGTGCGCATCCGGCAGCCCTTGGGCAGCAGCAGAGCAGCACGCGCCAAGGGCTCTCACGGGCTGTCAGGGGATGTGATGGTGGCAGCAGCAGCGCTCTCCCTCTCTGGCAGTGGCACGCGCAGCGGCAGTGGGCGCCGCCTCGCCTCCTCCGCTTACGGCGAGCAGTCCTTGCTCGCACCCAAGTCACATGACTTCCCCCTCACGGACGGCCCAGATGAGATCTTCATCGCAGTGGTGTCGATCCTAGGGCTGTTAGCGGAGGGAGGGTATATTCGGCTGAGCAGCCCGGCTGTGCTGGGGCTGGTGCCGGGGGGGGCGAGAGCAGGGCTGGGGTCGGTGGTGGCGGATAGAGGGGTGGGGGAGCGCAATAGCAATAACGTGGGGGCGTGGGCGGTGTACGGCGTGCAGAGGGCGCTGCAGCTGGCGCCTCACAGGCTGCTCACGCCTGCTGTGTACCATGCCATCATGACCGCCGTGCTGCGCTCCCAGGTGAGACGCATGTCACGTGCCAGCTGGGTGGCTGGCAACTGTTCCTCCAAGAGGCTGCTGACACCTGCTGTGCACCATGTGCTCTTTGACTGCTGTGCTGCGATGAGAGGTGAGGATGCGTGGTGTGGTGACTGACTGGTGAGGCGAGCTGAGGGATGTCACGAGACGAGACGCAAGGGAAGAATGGAACGAGAGCAAGGGAAGAATGGAACGAGAGCAAGGGAAGAATGGAACGAGAGCAAGGGAAGAATGGAACGAGAGCAAGGGAAGAATGGAACGAGAGCAAGGGAAGAATGGAACGAGAGCAAGGGAAGAATGGAACGAGAGCAAGGGAAGAATGGAACGAGAGCAAGGGAAGAATGGAACGAGAGCAAGGGAAGAATGGAACGAGAGCAAGGGAAGAATGGAACGAGAGCAAGGGAAGAATGGAACGAGAGCAAGGGAAGAATGGAACGAGAGCAAGGGAAGAATGGAACGAGAGCAAGGGAAGAATGGAACGAGAGCAAGGGAAGAATGGAACGAGAGCAAGGGAAGAATGGAACGAGAGCAAGGGAAGAATGGAACGAGAGCAAGGGAAGAATGGAACGAGAGCAAGGGAAGAATGGAACGAGAGCAAGGGAAGAATGGAACGAGAGCAAGGGAAGAATGGAACGAGAGCAAGGGAAGAATGGAACGAGAGCAAGGGAAGAATGGAACGAGAGCAAGGGAAGAATGGAACGAGAGCAAGGGAAGAATGGAACGAGAGCAAGGGAAGAATGGAACGAGAGCAAGGGAAGAATGGAACGAGAGCAAGGGAAGAATGGAACGAGAGCAAGGGAAGAATGGAACGAGAGCAAGGGAAGAATGGAACGAGAGCAAGGGAAGAATGGAACGAGAGCAAGGGAAGAATGGAACGAGAGCAAGGGAAGAATGGAACGAGAGCAAGGGAAGAATGGAACGAGAGCAAGGGAAGAATGGAACGAGAGCAAGGGAAGAATGGAACGAGAGCAAGGGAAGAATGGAACGAGAGCAAGGGAAGAATGGAACGAGAGCAAGGGAAGAATGGAACGAGAGCAAGGGAAGAATGGAACGAGAGCAAGGGAAGAATGGAACGAGAGCAAGGGAAGAATGGAACGAGAGCAAGGGAAGAATGGAACGAGAGCAAGGGAAGAATGGAACGAGAGCAAGGGAAGAATGGAACGAGAGCAAGGGAAGAATGGAACGAGAGCAAGGGAAGAATGGAACGAGAGCAAGGGAAGAATGGAACGAGAGCAAGGGAAGAATGGAACGAGAGCAAGGGAAGAATGGAACGAGAGCAAGGGAAGAATGGAACGAGAGCAAGGGAAGAATGGAACGAGAGCAAGGGAAGAATGGAACGAGAGCAAGGGAAGAATGGAACGAGAGCAAGGGAAGAATGGAACGAGAGCAAGGGAAGAATGGAACGAGAGCAAGGGAAGAATGGAACGAGAGCAAGGGAAGAATGGAACGAGAGCAAGGGAAGAATGGAACGAGAGCAAGGGAAGAATGGAACGAGAGCAAGGGAAGAATGGAACGAGAGCAAGGGAAGAATGGAACGAGAGCAAGGGAAGAATGGAACGAGAGCAAGGGAAGAATGGAACGAGAGCAAGGGAAGAATGGAACGAGAGCAAGGGAAGAATGGAACGAGAGCAAGGGAAGAATGGAACGAGAGCAAGGGAAGAATGGAACGAGAGCAAGGGAAGAATGGAACGAGAGCAAGGGAAGAATGGAACGAGAGCAAGGGAAGAATGGAACGAGAGCAAGGAAGAATGGAACGAGAGCAAGGGAAAGAATGGAACGAGAGCAAGGGAAGAATGGAACGAAGAGCAAGGGAAGAATGGAACGAGAGCAAGGGAAGAATGGAACGAGAGCAAGGGAAGAATGGAACGAGAGCAAGGGAAGAATGGAACGAGAGCAAGGAAGAATGGAACGAGAGCAAGGGAAGAATGGAACGAGAGCAAGGGAAGAATGAACGAGAGCAAGGAAGAATGGAACGAGAGCAAGGGAAGAATGGAACGAGAGCAAGGGAAGAATGAACGAGAGCAAGGGAAGAATGGAACGAGAGCAAGGGAAGAATGGAACGAGAGCAAGGGAAGAATGGAACGAGAGCAAGGGAAGAATGGAACGAGAGCAAGGGAAGAATGGAACGAGAGCAAGGGAAATGAATGCGAACGAGAGCAAGGGAAGAATGGAACGAGAGCAAGGGAAGAATGGAACGAGAGCAAGGGAAGAATGGAACGAGAGCAAGGGAAGAATGAATGGAAACGAGAGCAAGGGAAGAATGGAACGAGAGCAAGGGAAGAATGGAACGAGAGCAAGGGAAGAATGGAACGAGAGCAAGGGAAGAATGGAACGAGAGCAAGGGAAGAATGGAACGAGAGCAAGGGAAGAATGGAACGAGAGCAAGGGAAGAATGGAACGAGAGCAAGGGAAGAATGGAACGAGAGCAAGGGAAGAATGGAACGAGAGCAAGGGAAGAATGGAACGAGAGCAAGGGAAGAATGGAACGAGAGCAAGGGAAGAATGGAACGAGAGCAAGGGAAGAATGGAACGAGAGCAAGGGAAGAATGGAACGAGAGCAAGGGAAGAATGGAACGAGAGCAAGGGAAGAATGGAACGAGAGCAAGGGAAGAATGGAACGAGAGCAAGGGAAGAATGGAACGAGAGCAAGGGAAGAATGGAATGGAACGAGAGCAAGGGAAGAATGGAACGAGAGCAAGGGAAGAATGGAACGAGAGCAAGGGAAGAATGGAACGAGAGCAAGGGAAGAATGGAACGAGAGCAAGGGAAGAATGGAACGAGAGCAAGGGAAGAATGGAACGAGAGCAAGGGAAGAATGGAACGAGAGCAAGGGAAGAATGGAACGAGAGCAAGGGAAGAATGGAACGAGAGCAAGGGAAGAATGGAACGAGAGCAAGGGAAGAATGGAACGAGAGCAAGGGAAGAATGGAACGAGAGCAAGGGAAGAATGGAACGAGAGCAAGGGAAGAATGGAACGAGAGCAAGGGAAGAATGGAACGAGAGCAAGGGAAGAATGGAACGAGAGCAAGGGAAGAATGGAACGAGAGCAAGGGAAGAATGGAACGAGAGCAAGGGAAGAATGGAACGAGAGCAAGGGAAGAATGGAACGAGAGCAAGGGAAGAATGGAACGAGAGCAAGGGAAGAATGGAACGAGAGCAAGGGAAGAATGGAACGAGAGCAAGGGAAGAATGGAACGAGAGCAAGGGAAGAATGGAACGAGAGCAAGGGAAGAATGGAACGAGAGCAAGGGAAGAATGGAACGAGAGCAAGGGAAGAATGGAACGAGAGCAAGGGAAGAATGGAACGAGAGCAAGGGAAGAATGGAACGAGAGCAAGGGAAGAATGGAACGAGAGCAAGGGAAGAATGGAACGAGAGCAAGGGAAGAATGGAACGAGAGCAAGGGAAGAATGGAACGAGAGCAAGGGAAGAATGGAACGAGAGCAAGGGAAGAATGGAACGAGAGCAAGGGAAGAATGGAACGAGAGCAAGGGAAGAATGGAACGAGAGCAAGGGAAGAATGGAACGAGAGCAAGGGAAGAATGGAACGAGAGCAAGGGAAGAATGGAACGAGAGCAAGGGAAGAATGGAACGAGAGCAAGGGAAGAATGGAACGAGAGCAAGGGAAGAATGGAACGAGAGCAAGGGAAGAATGGAACGAGAGCAAGGGAAGAATGGAACGAGAGCAAGGGAAGAATGGAACGAGAGCAAGGGAAGAATGGAACGAGAGCAAGGGAAGAATGGAACGAGAGCAAGGGAAGAATGGAACGAGAGCAAGGGAAGAATGGAACGAGAGCAAGGGAAGAATGGAACGAGAGCAAGGGAAGAATGGAACGAGAGCAAGGGAAGAATGGAACGAGAGCAAGGGAAGAATGGAACGAGAGCAAGGGAAGAATGGAACGAGAGCAAGGGAAGAATGGAACGAGAGCAAGGGAAGAATGGAACGAGAGCAAGGGAAGAATGGAACGAGAGCAAGGGAAGAATGGAACGAGAGCAAGGGAAGAATGGAACGAGAGCAAGGGAAGAATGGAACGAGAGCAAGGGAAGAATGGAACGAGAGCAAGGGAAGAATGGAACGAGAGCAAGGGAAGAATGGAACGAGAGCAAGGGAAGAATGGAACGAGAGCAAGGGAAGAATGGAACGAGAGCAAGGGAAGAATGGAACGAGAGCAAGGGAAGAATGGAACGAGAGCAAGGGAAGAATGGAACGAGAGCAAGGGAAGAATGGAACGAGAGCAAGGGAAGAATGGAACGAGAGCAAGGGAAGAATGGAACGAGAGCAAGGGAAGAATGGAACGAGAGCAAGGGAAGAATGGAACGAGAGCAAGGGAAGAATGGAACGAGAGCAAGGGAAGAATGGAACGAGAGCAAGGGAAGAATGGAACGAGAGCAAGGGAAGAATGGAACGAGAGCAAGGGAAGAATGGAACGAGAGCAAGGGAAGAATGGAACGAGAGCAAGGGAAGAATGGAACGAGAGCAAGGGAAGAATGGAACGAGAGCAAGGGAAGAATGGAACGAGAGCAAGGGAAGAATGGAACGAGAGCAAGGGAAGAATGGAACGAGAGCAAGGGAAGAATGGAACGAGAGCAAGGGAAGAATGGAACGAGAGCAAGGGAAGAATGGAACGAGAGCAAGGGAAGAATGGAACGAGAGCAAGGGAAGAATGGAACGAGAGCAAGGGAAGAATGGAACGAGAGCAAGGGAAGAATGGAACGAGAGCAAGGGAAGAATGGAACGAGAGCAAGGGAAGAATGGAACGAGAGCAAGGGAAGAATGGAACGAGAGCAAGGGAAGAATGGAACGAGAGCAAGGGAAGAATGGAACGAGAGCAAGGGAAGAATGGAACGAGAGCAAGGGAAGAATGGAACGAGAGCAAGGGAAGAATGGAACGAGAGCAAGGGAAGAATGGAACGAGAGCAAGGGAAGAATGGAACGAGAGCAAGGGAAGAATGGAACGAGAGCAAGGGAAGAATGGAACGAGAGCAAGGGAAGAATGGAACGAGAGCAAGGGAAGAATGGAACGAGAGCAAGGGAAGAATGGAACGAGAGCAAGGGAAGAATGGAACGAGAGCAAGGGAAGAATGGAACGAGAGCAAGGGAAGAATGGAACGAGAGCAAGGGAAGAATGGAACGAGAGCAAGGGAAGAATGGAACGAGAGCAAGGGAAGAATGGAACGAGAGCAAGGGAAGAATGGAACGAGAGCAAGGGAAGAATGGAACGAGAGCAAGGGAAGAATGGAACGAGAGCAAGGGAAGAATGGAACGAGAGCAAGGGAAGAATGGAACGAGAGCAAGGGAAGAATGGAACGAGAGCAAGGGAAGAATGGAACGAGAGCAAGGGAAGAATGGAACGAGAGCAAGGGAAGAATGGAACGAGAGCAAGGGAAGAATGGAACGAGAGCAAGGGAAGAATGGAACGAGAGCAAGGGAAGAATGGAACGAGAGCAAGGGAAGAATGGAACGAGAGCAAGGGAAGAATGGAACGAGAGCAAGGGAAGAATGGAACGAGAGCAAGGGAAGAATGGAACGAGAGCAAGGGAAGAATGGAACGAGAGCGAAGAATGGACCAGAAGAATGGAACGAGAGCAAGGGAAGAATGGAACGAGAGCAAGGGAAGAATGGAACGAGAGCAAGGGAAGAATGGAACGAGAGCAAGGGAAGAATGGAACGAGAGCAAGGGAAGAATGGAACGAGAGCAAGGGAAGAATGGAACGAGAGCAAGGGAAGAATGGAACGAGAGCAAGGGAAGAATGGAACGAGAGCAAGGGAAGAATGGAACGAGAGCAAGGGAAGAATGGAACGAGAGCAAGGGAAGAATGGAACGAGAGCAAGGGAAGAATGGAACGAGAGCAAGGGAAGAATGGAACGAGAGCAAGGGAAGAATGGAACGAGAGCAAGGGAAGAATGGAACGAGAGCAAGGGAAGAATGGAACGAGAGCAAGGGAAGAATGGAACGAGAGCAAGGGAAGAATGGAACGAGAGCAAGGGAAGAATGGAACGAGAGCAAGGGAAGAATGGAACGAGAGCAAGGGAAGAATGGAACGAGAGCAAGGGAAGAATGGAACGAGAGCAAGGGAAGAATGGAACGAGAGCAAGGGAAGAATGGAACGAGAGCAAGGGAAGAATGGAACGAGAGCAAGGGAAGAATGGAACGAGAGCAAGGGAAGAATGGAACGAGAGCAAGGGAAGAATGGAACGAGAGCAAGGGAAGAATGGAACGAGAGCAAGGGAAGAATGGAACGAGAGCAAGGGAAGAATGGAACGAGAGCAAGGGAAGAATGGAACGAGAGCAAGGGAAGAATGGAACGAGAGCAAGGGAAGAATGTGTTTGTCCTCAATCTCTGTCTCATTCGTTTGCTATCATTCTATCTCCCCCCCCATTTGTTCTCTTCCCTCTTGTGTTCCACCCCCCATCCTCCCGCGCATGTCCCACTCACCGCATGCATTCGCCCCTGCCTCTTTCCCTGCAGTCATCCACATCAGTGCAAGAACCTGCCAGCACTGGCGCCAATGTCACTGCTGCCAGCTCCACCAACGCCAGTGCGGGTGAGGCTGCCACACAGGCAGCAGCAGCGGGGCGGAGGGTGCTCCCACCGGACACGGTCTTGGCAGAGTCGCAGCTGCAGCTGCTGCTGGCGCTGCTCAGAGCGCTGCCCTCCGCTGCTCCTCGCACCCAACTCGCCATTCTGCAGGCAAGCATTCTCCCCTTGCCCTCCCATGCTCTCCCCTTGCCCTCCCATGCTCTCCCCTTGCCCTCCCATGCTCTCCCCTTGCCCTCCCATGCTCCTCCCATGCTCTCCCCTTGCCCTCCCATGCTCTCCCCTTGCCCTCCCATGCTCTCCCCTTGCCCTCCCATGCTCTCCCCTTGCCCTCCCATGCTCTCCCCTTGCCCTCCCATGCTCTCCCCTTGCCCTCCCATGCTCTCCCCTTGCCCTCCCATGCTCTCCCCTTGCCCTCCCATGCTCTCCCCTTGCCCTCCCATGCTCTCCCCTTGCCCTCCCGTGCTCTCCCCTTGCCCTCCCGTGCTCTCCCCTTGCCCTCCCGTGCTCTCCCCTTCCCCTCCCATGCTCTCCCCTTGCCCTCCCATCCTCTCCCCTTGCCCTCCCATGCTCTCCCCTTGCCCTCCCGTGCTCTCCCCTTCCCCTCCCATGCTCTCCCCTTGCCCTCCCATCCTCTCCCCTTGCCCTCCCATGCTCTCCCCTTGCCCTCCCATGCTCTCCCCTTGCCCTCCCGTGCTCTCCCCTTGCCCTCCCATGCTCTCCCCTTGCCCTCCCATGCTCTTTCCATGCACTCCACATGCTCTTTCTATTCCTTACTCCAATGTCATTTGCTCCCTCTGCCTGCCCATACCACTCCCCATATCACATGTTGCTGCTATGCCTCTGCTTTTGAATCGCCTCAATAGTTCCTCCCCTCCAACCATGCTCACCGCACCCCACCCACCCACAGGACGTGCTGCTGCTGGTGTCGCTGAGTGGCAGCAACCGTCGCCAGCTGTCGTGCCTGCCAGAGTGGCCTGAGTGGCTGCTCGAGATCCTGCTAGACAACCTCGAGGTGAGATCCTGCTAGACAACCTCGAGGTGAGATCCTGCTAGACAACCTCGAGGTGAGATCCTGCTAGACAACCTCGAGGTGAGATCCTGCTAGACAACCTCGAGGTGAGATCCTGCTAGACAACCTCGAGGTGAGATCCTGCTAGACAACCTCGAGGTGAGATCCTGCTAGACAACCTCGAGGTGAGATCCTGCTAGACAACCTCGAGGTGAGATCCTGCTAGACAACCTCGAGGTGAGATCCTGCTAGACAACCTGGAGGTGAGATCCTGCTAGACAACCTCGAGGTGAGATCCTGCTAGACAACCTCGAGGTGAGATCCTGCTAGACAACCTCGAGGTGAGATCCTGCTAGACAACCTCGAGGTGAGATCCTGCTAGACAACCTCGAGGTGAGATCCTGCTAGACAACCTCGAGGTGAGATCCTGCTAGACAACCTCGAGGTGAGATCCCGCTAGACAACCTCGAGGTGAGATCCCGCTAGACAACCTCGAGGTGAGATCCTGCTAGACAACCTCGAGGTGAGATCCTGCTAGACAACCTCGAGGTGAGATCCTGCTAGACAACCTCGAGGTGAGATCCTGCTAGACAACCTCGAGGTGAGATCCTGCTGGACAACCTCGAGGTGAGATCCTGCTAGACAACCTCGAGGTGAGATCCTGCTAGACAACCTCGAGGTGAGATCCTGCTAGACAACCTCGAGGTGAGATCCCGCTAGACAACCTCGAGGTGAGATCCCGCTAGACAACCTCGAGGTGAGATCCTGCTAGACAACCTCGAGGTGAGATCCTGCTAGACAACCTCGAGGTGAGATCCTGCTAGACAACCTCGAGGTGAGATCCTGCTAGACAACCTCGAGTTGAGATCCTGCTAGACAACCTCGAGGTGAGATCTTGCTAGACAACCTCGAGGTGAGATCCTGCTAGACAACCTCGAGGTGAGATCCTGCTAGACAACCTCGAGGTGAGATCCTGCTAGACAACCTCGAGGTGAGATCCTGCTAGACAACCTCGAGGTGAGATCCTGCTGGACAACCTCGAGGTGAGATCCTGCTAGACAACCTCGAGGTGAGATCCTGCTAGACAACCTCGAGGTGAGATCCTGCTAGACAACCTCGAGGTGAGATCCTGCTAGACAACCTCGAGGTGAGATCCTGCTAGACAACCTCGAGGTGAGATCCTGCTAGACAACCTCGCGGTGAGATCCTGCTAGACAACCTCGAGGTGAGATCCTGCTAGACAACCTGGAGGTGAGATCCTGCTAGACAACCTCGAGGTGAGATCCTGCTAGACAACCTCGAGGTGAGATCCTGCTAGACAACCTCGAGGTGAGGTCCTGCTAGACAACCTCGAGGTGAGATCCTGCTAGACAACCTCGAGGTGAGATCCTGCTAGACAACCTCGAGGTGAGATCCTGCTAGACAACCTCGAGGTGAGATCCTGCTAGACAACCTCGAGGTGAGATCCTGCTAGACAACCTCGAGGTGAGATCCTGCTAGACAACCTCGAGGTGAGATCCTGCTAGACAACCTCGAGGTGAGATCCTGCTAGACAACCTCGAGGTGAAATCCTGCTAGACAACCTCGAGGTGAGATCCTGCTAGACAACCTCGAGGTGAGATCCTGCTAGACAACCTCGAGGTGAGATCCTGCTAGACAACCTCGAGGTGAGATCCTGCTAGACAACCTCGAGGTGAGATCCTGCTAGACAACCTCGAGGTGAGATCCTGCTAGACAACCTCGAGGTGAGATCCTGCTAGACAACCTCGAGGTGAGATCCTGCTAGACAACCTCGAGGTGAGATCCTGCTAGACAACCTCGAGGAGAGATCCTGCTAGACAACCTCGAGGTGAGATCCTGCTAGACAACCTCGAGGTGAGATCCTGCTAGACAACCTCGAGGTGAGATCCTGCTGGACAACCTCGAGGTGAGATCCTGCTAGACAACCTCGAGGTGAGATCCTGCTAGACAACCTCGAGGTGAGATCCTGCTAGACAACCTCGAGGTGAGATCCTGCTAGACAACCTCGAGGTGAGATCCTGCTAGACAACCTCGAGGTGAGATGCTGCTAGACAACCTCGAGGTGAGATCCTGCTAGACAACCTCGAGGTGAGATCCTGCTAGACAACCTCGAGGTGAGATCCTGCTAGACAACCTCGAGGTGAGATCCTGCTAGACAACCTCGAGGTGAGATCCTGCTAGACAACCTCGAGGTGAGATCCTGCTAGACAACCTGGAGGTGAGATCCTGCTAGACAACCTCGAGGTGAGATCCTGCTAGACAACCTCGAGGTGAGATCCTGCTAGACAACCTCGAGGTGAGATCCTGCTAGACAACCTCGAGGTGAGATCCTGCTAGACAACCTCGAGGTGAGATCCTGCTAGACAACCTCGAGGTGAGATCCTGCTAGACAACCTCGAGGTGAGATCCTGCTAGACAACCTCGAGGTGAGATCCTGCTAGACAACCTGGAGGTGAGATCCTGCTAGACAACCTCGAGGTGAGATCCTGCTAGACAACCTCGAGGTGAGATCCTGCTAGACAACCTCGAGGTGAGATCCTGCTAGACAACCTCGAGGTGAGATCCTGCTAGACAACCTCGAGGTGAGCGGGTCACGTCCACGTGAGCTCACATGTGGATATGCCACTCCTGCACAGCTGCACCGTCCTTCCCTTGCATTCCCTTCTTGCCCGTCTCCCATCTTCCCTGTTCCCTCATCTACTTGTCTCCCATCTTCCCTTTTCCCTCATCTACTTGTCGTTCTCACCGCACCTTCTGACCTCCGCTTTTCTTCTGCGCTGCAGCGACTGCCGGCTGGCGCCTGCTCCATCAGCAGCACTGACGCTGGTGCGCATGGAAAGCAACACGCGGCAGGGCAAGGCAACGAGACACCCACGGCCGCTGCAAGTGGCAAGACAGGGGGAGGAGAGGGCGGAGAGGGGCGTGTGGAGGAGGCAGGTGCAGGTGGCGATGGTGACGGCAGTGGCGGGGCGGTGGACGGCAGTGGTGATAGCAGAGGAGGGGGGTTGAGAGAGGAGCAGCGGGAGCGCGTGGATGTGAACGAGATGATCTTCTCCTTCCTGGGCACCGTGCTGGAACACTGCATGACCTTCACACATGGCTGGAAGGTGAACCGCCTGTGCACTGCAGTGTGTGAAGAGAAGAAACTGCTGCCCAGCTGCTGCCTCCCCTGCCACCTGCACGTCACTCTCCATGCCATTCTGCTCGCCTTTACCTTCTCACTCTCTCCGTCACGCTCCCCCTCGTCCTCATCGCCACAGACCCATATTCTAACCTCTCTCTCCGCATTCCCGTTTTTCCATCATGCCATCATGCCATCATGCCATCATGCCACCATGCCATCATGCCATCATGCCACCATGCCACCATGCCATCATGCCACCATGCCACCATGCCATCATGCCATCATCCCATCATGCCACCATGCCATCATGCCATCATGCCACCATGCCATCATGCCATCATGCCACCATGCCACCATGCCATCATGCCATCATGCCATCATGCCACCATGCCATCATGCCATCATCCCATCATGCCACCATGCCATCATGCCATCATGCCACCATGCCACCATGCCACCATGCCATCATGCCACCATGCCACCATGCCATCATGCCACCATGCCATCATGCCACCATGCCATCATGCCATCATGCCATCATGCCATCATGCCATCATGCCATCATGCCATCATGCCATCATGCCATCATGCCATCATGCCACCATGCCATCATGCCATCATGCCATCATGCCATCATGCCACCATGCCATCATGCCATCATGCCATCATGGCATGTGCAGGAGCTAGAGGCCACATTCCATTGCCTTGAGTGGATGGCTCTCATTGGTGGATCCAGCATCGGCCCTGAACGAGTCAAGTGAGTCAAATTAGCGAGTCAAGTGAGTCAAATCAGCGAGTCAAGTGAGTCAAATTAGCGAGTCAAGTGAGTCAAGTCAGCGAGTCAATCCACTGGTCTTCACCTACTCAACTCCGTAGCCCTGCTCATCAAGTGAGCAACTCATGGGACCGAGAGAGTGAAAGGAAGCTATCGTTTAAGCAACTCCCGCCACCCAGTAGGTGCTTCACCTGCTCAACTGCACTGCTTCACTTTTTTGACAGGCACGAGGCCATTGCTGAGGCGCCTCAACATATAATTCTTCTCACATCAATTTCCCCCCACTCTGCCGGCGGGTGAATGTGTGTGTGTGTGTGTGCGCGCGCGCGCGTGTGCGCGTGAGCGTGCGTGTGCGCGTGCGTGCGTGCGTGCGTGTGTGTGCGTGTGTGTGTGTGTGTGTGTGTGTGTGCGTGTGTGTGTGTGTGTGTGAGTGTGCGTGGTCAGGCGAGAGGAGGGTATGGCAACGGTGAAGCGGCGCCTGCTGCATGGCGTCATGGACTTCACTGCCGCCCACCTGCGCCTGCAGGTCAGATTTCACTCTATTCTTCCCGCTCTCTTCTTCCTTTCCTTCCTTTCCCACCGCTGTAATCCCTCGTTCTCTTCTCCCTCTCACCTAGCCCCTGCCCCATCGCCCACCCCTTATCCTGCCCACCCACACACCACGGCCAAGCAGGCTCAAGTGGAGGCCACAGCAGCAGCGGCAGCAGCGGCAGCAGCAGAGGCAGCAGCCCTGGCATCGCCTCTCCCCATAGACATCCCCATCTCGCCCACGCCCACCTCCCCGCACACACGCGCCCCCGACCCGCTGCTGACGTGCCCCACGTCGGCGTGCCTGCTGGAGAACGCGGTGGCGCTGCTGATGCTGCTCGAGGACTTCCTGCGCTTCCACGCTGCTGCCCGCTCGCCCCTCGCCCTGCCCACCGTCGCCTTCGACGCCGATGACACCCTCCCTGGCTCCCGCCCTGCCGCCTGGCACGACGCCCCTGACTCCCCCACAGGAGCCTCCGCTGCGGGAGTGGGGTCTGTGCTGCCAGGCACGACGGCCACAGCAGCAGCGGCGGCAGCAGCAGGGTTGATGCCGCTGGCGGCGCAGCTGTCCAACCCGTTGCTCTCCGCAGGGTCGTCCTCGCGGCGCCGCAGCCCCACGGATCTGCTCACTCTCGAGATGCTCACGCTCATGGCGGATAATGCGGGGCAGCTCACTGCCCCCATGCTGGAGCGCATAACTGCCTCCACCAGTGCCGAGCCCTTTGAGGGCGTGCGCTGCGCCCTGCCTACTTACGGGTCTATTTCCCAGGAGTTGCCACTCAGTTGGGGGCACCGGAGCAAGCTGTGGTATGGCGTGGCAGTGCCGCCCGAGGGGAAGGGGGGACCGGGGTGGGGCGGCGGGTGGGCGGCGTGGGCGGCAGCAGTGGAGATTGACCCGGTGACGGGGCGGTGGCAGGACCTGCCTCTCGTGGTGAAGGCTGTTGGCATGCTGCGATCCATGCTGCTGGACGAAGGGGAGGTGGGGCAGGGGGGCGAGAAGCAGGGGGGCGAGAAGCAGGGGGGCGAGAAGCAGGGGGGCGAGAAGCAGGGGGGAAAGGGAGGTGCAGGGGCGGCGGAAGGGGTGTTGGCGGTGGTGGGGGGGATAGCGAACATGCTGGGCGGGGGGAGTGCGGGGGGCGTGTTGAACCGCGCGAGTCAGTTGCTCCTGGAGGACGACCAGACGCTGCTGACTGTCATCCGCCTCGTGGCCGTGGCTGCCAGGGAGCTCAGTGACGTGGTGGATGTGGAGCAGGACCAGGGGGGGGACGGGGCAGCACCACATGGACAGGAGGGGGGAGTGGATGGGGCGGGCGGGGCAGTGGTGGCGTGGGAGCGAGGTGAGATGGAGGGCATCTCGCCTGGCGTTCTCAGCTCGCTGCTCTGGCGGTACGTGCCGTGCAGGGCAGCCATGGCATGCGCATGCTCATCTCTTGACCGTTGCTATGTGCTGTGCACTCCCACCTCACCATGTTGCTATGTGCCGTGCACTCCCACCTCACCATGCTGTCTCCCGTCCCTCCCTCCCACCAATCTGCACTCTCACACTTCCCTCCTCTGCTCATCTCGCCCCCCTGTCTCCGTGCTGCAGGGCTGTGCTGCCGCTGCTCACAACAGCGTCACTTGACGCTCGCAAGCAGTGCGCACTCGCAGCATCGGCCGTCCTGCACACAGAGGTCAGTCGCAAACAGAGGCCCTGCTCTACTCTTGCCCTCCTCGCACCCCACTTGTCTCTACTCTTGCTGCAACCATCCCGCTGCCTCCACATCCCAGCCCACCTGGGCAATGCAAACCTTCAGATCCCCCTCCTTCTCCTTCTCCTTCTTCTCCTTCTCCCTCCTCTCGCCCACTCGTCTCTACCTGCCGTGCGCCCATCAGGCCATCCATGCCATAGCGCCATCGCGCGCCATCCTGCGCCCGGCCCTCATCACAGTGGTGCAGCCGCCCCTGGCAGCGCTGCTGCGCAAGTGGCGCTCGGCCTTCGCCTTCATCCCGCACCTCACCGACTTCGAGGGCCACAACCCCTTCCTCAGGGATGATGACCGCGCTCTTGCCACTGATGCTGCACCCCATGAGGTGGGTCGTCATTCTCACCTTCTCAGGTTCTTGACGTTTTAAACCGACGCCGCAGCAGACGAGGCGAGTGCCTCGGGCCTTCCCAGGATTGCGCACTGCCAGCTGAGCACTGCCAGCTGAGCACTGCCAGCTGAGCACTGCCAGCTGAGCACTGCCAGCTGAGCACTGCAAATGTCAAAACAAGCTCTTTCCTGCTTTCCTAACCTTTGCCTATCCCCTTTCCCATCCAAGTCCCAACACAAGTCTCTCCCTTGCACGTCCTCCACGCCCCCAGGCATCACTGGCGCTGCTGCAAGTCATCTGGGTGGCCGCCTTGGCGTCCCCCCCTGCCTCCACGGCCCTCGCAGCCATGGCTGCTGCTGCTGGCCCCGGCTCTGTTCCCCCCCGCACCACCCTCACCTCCTCCTCCTCCGCCTCCTCCCTCTCCACCCTCTCCTCTGCTCCTGTCACACGCACGTCTACCTACCCTAGCGCCTCCCCAGCCACAGGCAGCACCATCCTTGCTGCCTCTGCCAGTCACGCACCTGGGACTGGCAGTAGCACTTCTGCTGCTGTCACCCGCACTAGCAGTCATCACGTGCCGCCCGGCCAGCCTGGCGCCAGCTCAACAGTCAGCCGGCGCATGTCTCAACGCAGCGGCATGACTAAAACGGGGGGAGGGAGGCAGGAGGGGGAGCGGGAGGGGGCAACATCGTCCCAGCGGCGCATGAACGGGGACAAGGACCGCGCGCAGAGGTGGAGCCTGGGGGAGGCCGTGGAGAAGGCGTGGGACTGCAGTCGCGGCATCCCTGTCTCTGCTGCCACTCGCACCACTGCTGCTGCTGCCGGTGCTGCTGGTGTTGGGGGGGTGGAAGGGAGGGAGGGAGGGGCAGGGGCGGCGGGGGCAGAGGAAGGGGGGAATGGTACGGCGCTGGGTCCCACGCTGGGCGGGCTGCAGCAGCACCTCGATGGCATGCGCGGCCTCATTCGCGCTCAGGTGCGAGTCCCTACCCTCAGGTGCTCCTCCCTACCCTCAGGTGCTCCTCCCTACCCTCAGGTGCTCGTCCCTACCCTCAGGTGCTCCTCCCTACCCTCAGGTGCTCCTCCCTACCCTCAGGTGCTCGTCCCTACCCTCGTACAAGTGATGCAGTAAACACTTTCTCACCCGCATCTCAAAGTCTGTATGCACAAGGACAAAAGGAGAGGGAAGGCTCATGTGGAGAGATGATGAATGTGTGTGCTGTATTCGCGATTTCCTCCCTGCACCTCTTCCCTTCACCTCTCCCTTGTGCACTGGTCATACAGGGTGACGTGGGAGACGCAAGGACACACAGGAGCACGTGCACACACAGGAGCACTGCACACACAGGAGCACTGCACACACAGGAGCACTGCACACACAGGAGCACTGCACACACAGGAGCACTGCACACACAGGAGCACTGCACACACAGGAGCACTGCACACACAGGAGCACTGCACACACAGGAGCACTGCACACACAGGAGCACTGCACACACAGGAGCACTGCACACACAGGAGCACTGCACACACAGGAGCACTGCACACACAGGAGCACTGCACACACAGGAGCACTGCACACACAGGAGCACTGCACACACAGGAGCACTGCACACACAGGAGCACTGCACACACAGGAGCACTGCACACACAGGAGCACTGCACACACAGGAGCACTGCACACACAGGAGCACTGCACACACAGGAGCACTGCACACACAGGAGCACTGCACACACAGGAGCACTGCACACACAGGAGCACTGCACACACAGGAGCACTGCACACACAGGAGCACTGCACACACAGGAGCACTGCACACACAGGAGCACTGCACACACAGGAGCACTGCACACACAGGAGCACTGCACACACAGGAGCACTGCACACACAGGAGCACTGCACACACAGGAGCACTGCACACACAGGAGCACTGCACACACAGGAGCACTGCACACACAGGAGCACTGCACACACAGGAGCACTGCACACACAGGAGCACTGCACACACAGGAGCACGTGCACACACAGGAGCACTGCACACACAGGAGCACTGCACACACAGGAGCACTGCACACACAGGAGCACGTGCACACACAGGAGCACTGCACACACAGGAGCACTGCACACACAGGAGCACTGCACACACAGGAGCACTGCACACACAGGAGCACTGCACACACAGGAGCACGTGCACACACAGGAGCACTGCACACACAGGAGCACTGCACACACAGGAGCACTGCACACACAGGAGCACTGCACACACAGGAGCACGTGCACACACAGGAGCACTGCACACACAGGAGCACTGCACACACAGGAGCACTGCACACACAGGAGCACTGCACACACAGGAGCACTGCACACACAGGAGCACGTGCACACACAGGAGCACTGCACACACAGGAGCACTGCACACACAGGAGCACTGCACACACAGGAGCACTGCACACACAGGAGCACGTGCACACACAGGAGCACTGCACACACAGGAGCACTGCACACACAGGAGCACTGCACACACAGGAGCACGTGCACACACAGGAGCACTGCACACACAGGAGCACTGCACACACAGGAGCACTGCACACACAGGAGCACTGCACACCAAACAGGAGCACGTGCACACACAGGAGCACTGCACACACAGGAGCACTGCACACACAGGAGCACTGCACACACAGGAGCACTGCACACACAGGAGCACTGCACACACAGGAGCACGTGCACACACAGGAGCACTGCACACACAGGAGCACTGCACACACAGGAGCACTGCACACACAGGAGCACTGCACACACAGGAGCACTGCACACACAGGAGCACTGCACACACAGGAGCACGTGCACACACAGGAGCACTGCACACACAGGAGCACTGCACACACAGGAGCACTGCACACACAGGAGCACTGCACACACAGGAGCACTGCACACACAGGAGCACACACCCCTTGGTCTCTTCCCTTGTCGCATCTCCCCCCTCCCATGCGTGCAGAGGCTGCGGAGGGTGAAGATAGAGACGCAGATGGCGCGCGCGCACACAGCTGGCATGCGCATGTGGCGCTCCCTCATTCGCCAGCTCCTCGAGTCAGGGCTGCTCGTGGGCCTCCCTGGAAGTTACCACGAGTTGAAGCAGCGCCGGGTGAGACAGGGGCGACGGGTGGGGCAGTGTCAAACACGGGGGGAGAGGGGTGGGGCAGTGTCAAACACGTACCACAGTGGCATGGCGTGGACGCCACGTGCTTCAACACCAAACCCACTTCCTTGAAGAAACTAGATGCTTTTGGAAGCCTCCAGCCTCCAGGGGCATCAGCACATGGTGCCGCCTGCTATGAACCTCCTTCTCCTCCTCTTCCCATCCAAACTCGGCGCCTGCATCCCTCTAACCATGTGCCCCGCCCCCGTCGCCTCTCTCCTCCCTCTCTCTCCCTCTCCACCAAACCCCAACACATCACTGTGCTGTGGAACATGCGTGGCCCCCATCCATGCGCGCAGGTGTTTTGGAAGCTGGACCGGGTGGAGAGCAGCGCGCGCATGAGGCGGCGCATGGTGCGCAACTACCGCGGCTCCGACTGCCACGGCCTCGCTGCTGACTTCCGCCCCCCCCCTCACGACCCCCCGCCCGCTGCCAAGCGCGCACGCTCCCAGGGGGACGCGGATGGGGTAGATGGGGTAGAGAAGGGGGTGGGGGCAGGGACGGTGGGCCTGCAGGAGGGGGGGGGTGTGGGGGTTGAAGGAAAGGCACGCGAGGAGGATGGGGAGGGAGAGGGGGTTGCAGTGGGAGGAGGGGCGGGTAGTGAGGGTGTGGGTGTAGATGGGGAGGGGAAGGATGAGGCGAAGGAAGGGGTGCTGGAGGGGAATGGCGCAGGGGATGTGGAGGGGGTGGGAGGGGCAATAGTGGAAGATGCATCGGGGCTGCTGGGCGGCTGCCTGCCCGCCCCTGTGAAAGACTTCGATGCTCCCGTGCCGATGAGCGCGGATGAGGAGGGTCCGGAAGGGGAGGCCGAGACGGACAGAGCGGAGGGGGAGGGTGGAGAAGGTGAGGAGACGGAGGGGGCACGAGATGCAGCAGAGGGGGGTGGTGAAGGCGTGACAGCAGCAGAGGGGGGTGGTGAAGGCGTGACAGCAGCAGAGGGGGGTGGTGAAGTTGGGGGTGGTGCTGTGGAGCATGCGGTGTTGGAAGGTGGTGTGAAGCACACGCCAGGTGCCGATGATACTCTGGGGGCGAACGATGCTGAGCCAGGAAAAACGGAATTTGCTGCTGAGTCAGACGCAAAGGGTGGCGACTCATCAGAAGCAAGAGTGTCGGCAGTCGAGGAGGGGGCGAGTGCAGCAGGGGAGGAGGGTGGGGATGGAGGAGGCAGCAAGCAGGCAGAGGGAGGCGAGGTGGCTTCTGAACCAACAAGCCACGCAGCTTCAGCCTCCTCGCCTGAGCCTCCCTCCACCACCGCCACCACCACCGCCAGCACCACCGCCAGCACCACCGGCAGCAGCACTAGTGCCAGCAGTGGCACTGCTGGTCCCTCCACTGCTGCTGCTCCTGCCTCTACTGCCACCACCACCTCCTCTACTGCCACAGCAGCAGCAGCAGCAGCAGCACCCCAGGAAGCCCTGGCAGCGTCGGCAGTGGCAGCAGTGGCGTTGGCAGCAGGCGAGCAGGCGGGGCTGTCAGCAGTGGTGAGCAGCAGCGAGGTGGCGGCAGAGGTGGCGGTGGGGGAGAGGGAGCGAGTGGTGGTGGAGGTGCCGGCCATGATGGTGCTGCCCCTTCAGGTCCTCCACGGCCGCCTCCTCGTCACTGCCTCTCGCTTGCTCTTCCTCGTTGACCCCTCCGTGCACTTCAAGGAGAGCGCGGCGGGCGACCACGGGAGGGAAGGGGGTGGAGGGGGAAGGGGAGAGGGCGGGGAGGGAGTGGGGGGTAAGAAGGCGCGGGACAGAGTGTGGCGGCTGACATCCGTGAGGGAGGTGCTCAGCAGGCGGTGAGTGAATGCTGGGACTTGACCATCCCACTGCTCCCACTGTTTTGTACTAATCTCTGTGTGTGTGTGCGCGCGCGCGTGCATGCACGCGTGCGTGCGTGCGTGCGCGAGAGCGTGCGTGTGTGTGTTTCTCTGCTTCTGCTTTCCGTTTTTCCCATTCGACTCCACTTTCTGTTCAGGAATTCGTCTCATGTTTGCTGGCCATGCCTTGCTGCGTCCGCCCTCTGCCGTCCCGTGTCCCCTGCCCCCCGGCATCACATCACATCAGCTATTTGCTGCGGCGCTCGGCGCTGGAGGTGTTCATGATCGACCGCTCCAACTTCTTCTTCAACTTTGAGGTACGTGCGCGCAAGGGGAACGAGGGGGGGGGCACACACGGGACATGGGTTCGCCAAGGATGTTTACACGAGCTGGGGGTTTGTGTAGAGGAGAGAGCACAACCACATGATGTCCTGGCATGTCATGGCAGCACATCTCCCTCCCACGAATCCTCTTCCATATGCTGGACCAATCCTCATGCTCACGCATGGGTGAAAAGACCTTTGGCCTCATGCTTGTGGCTGCCTCTGCCTCGTGTGCCACCCCCCTTGACATGACAGGGCCCGGAGGAGCGGCTACGAGTGCACCGAGCCATCGAGCATGCCAACCCACCGCACCTGCAGCACCACTTCTCCCCCACTCTGGTGCGCCCTCCTCTCCTTCCGCCCACCTGCACCTGTGCACGCCCTTTGGACGTCATACCCTCGCCACACATCGTACCCTTAACACTCTTACTGCCCCACATGACATGCTACGGACATGCTCTTGCCTGCGTATACTGGTGCAAGAATGACCGCTTTTTTCCCATGCCTCTGTGCCTTGGTACCCCAATGCGCCCCCTCACCAGCGCCCCGAGAAGATGCTAGAGCGGCTACAGCTCACTGAGAGATGGCTCCGCAGGGAGGTGAGCTGCCAGGGGGGACGAATGGTGGTTGTACGGACAGCAGAGCCATGGGACTGCCCTGTGTTGCTCCCGCCTTCTTTTTGTCTCCCAACCTTGCTTCTATCCCCTCATCGCTTCTCGTCATATCACCAGCTTTGACTATTTCATTCACCTCAATGCTCTTACCAGCTGATCCTTTATCCCCATTGTTTTCTTGTCGCCATGTGGCTTCCCTGCCCGCGTGTGCTCGGGTCCCTGCGTGCGGCAGATCACCAACTTCGACTACCTCATGCAGCTCAACACCCTGGCGGGCCGCACCTTCAACGATGTCACCCAGGTAACGATGTCACCCAGGTAACGATGTCACCCAGGTAACGATGTCACCCAGGTAACGATGTCACCCAGGTAACGATGTCGCCCAGGTAAGCCCAATCCAAGCACGTCGTTCACCTCAATGTGCCATTTGGCTGGATTGCTTCACATTCCCAACCTTGCTGTGGTTTCCAGCACGTTCCAGTCCTTGTGTTCCTTTCCGTTAACATCTCCTCATATCATGCTCTTTCCTCCCACCCTCTCCTCCCCTCCCTTCCTCCCCTTCTCACCACACCCATCGTCTCTCGTCCTGCCAGTACCCCGTCTTCCCCTGGGTAATTCAGGACTATACCTCAAAGGAGCTCGACCTCACCAACCCAGCCACCTTCAGAGACCTCTCCAAGGTGCCTCGTCCTTTCTCCTCCAAATACCTTCTTTTTTACTTCACATGCATATCTAAATGCCTTCAGTATTCATACTCTTCTTCTAGCTCTCAAATCCCTCCTCATGTTCTTTCACCTTGCCTTTTCATCCAAGTTTCCACGCATCCCCTACACACCTCTCTCCTCTCCCCTCCCACCCGCGTGCAGCCGGTGGGGGCGCTGGATGCGGGGCGGTTGGAGAAGTTTGTGGAGCGGTACCACAGCTTTGCGGACCCCGTCATCCCCAAGTTCCACTACGGCTCGCACTACTCCAGCGCCGGCATTGTCAGTCTCCCTTCCCTTAACCACTGCTCATGCCCGCTCACACCGCCATGCTGCACTTCATCGTCCCTCAACTATAGTAACGCTCGCGCTTCCCCACCCCCTTTCCCCTCCACGACCCCCGCCTTCTCCCCCCCAGGTGGCGCACTATCTGCTGCGAGTGGAGCCGTACACGTCGCTTGCCCTGGCCCTGCAGGGCGGGCAGTTTGACCACCCCGACCGCCTCTTCCTGGACGTGGCTGCCACGTGGCGGGGAGTCACCTCCGACATGAGCGATGTCAAGGAGCTGGTGAGGCGATGTCAAGGAGCTGGTGAGGCGATGTCAAGGAGCTGGTGAGCCATGTCAAGGAGCTGGTGAGGCGATGTCAAGGAGCTTATGAGCCATGTCAAGGAGCTGGTGAGCCATGTCAAGGAGCTGGTGAGCCATGTCAAGGAGCTGGTGAGCCATGTCAAGGAGCTGGTGAGCCATGTCAAGGAGCTGGTGAGCCATGTCAAGGAGCTGGTGAGCGATGTCAAGGAGCTGGTGAGCCATGTCAAGGAGCTGGTGAGCCATGTGAAGGAGCTGGTGAGCCATGTGAAGGAGCTGGTGAGCCATGTGAAGGAGCTGGTGAGCCATGTGAAGGAGCTGGTGAGCCATGTCAAGGAGCTGGTGAGCCATGTCAAGGAGCTGGTGAGCGATGTCAAGGAGCTGGTGAGCCATGTCAAGGAGCTGGTGAGCCATGTGAAGGAGCTGGTGAGCCATGTGAAGGAGCTGGTGAGCCATGTGAAGGAGCTGGTGAGCCATGTCAAGGAGCTGGTGAGCCATGTCAAGGAGCTGGTGAGCCATGTCAAGGAGCTGGTGAGCCATGTCAAGGAGCTGGTGAGCCATGTGAAGGAGCTGGTGAGCCATGTGAAGGAGCTGGTGAGCCATGTCAAGGAGCTGGTGAGCCATGTCAAGGAGCTGGTGAGCCATGTCAAGGAGCTGGTGAGCCATGTCAAGGAGCTGGTGAGCCATGTCAAGGAGCTGGTGAGCCATGTCAAGGAGCTGGTGAGCCATGTCAAGGAGCTGGTGAGCCATGTCAAGGAGCTGGTGAGCCATGTCAAGGAGCTGGTGAGCCATGTCAAGGAGCTGGTGAGCCATGTCGAGGAGCTGGTGAGCCATGTCAAGGAGCTGGTGAGCCATGTCAAGGAGCTGGTGAGCCATGTCAAGGAGCTGGTGAGCCATGTCAAGGAGCTGGTGAGCCATGTCAAGGAGCTGGTGAGCCATGTCAAGGAGCTGGTGAGCCATGTCAAGGAACTGGTGAGCCATGTCAAGGAGCTGGTGAGCCATGTCAAGGAGCTGGTGAGCCATGTCAAGGAGCTGGTGAGCCATGTCAAGGAGCTGGTGAGCCATGTCAAGGAGCTGGTGAGCCATGTCAAGGAGCTGGTGAGCCATGTCAAGGAGCTGGTGAGCCATGTCGAGGAGCTGGTGAGCCATGTCAAGGAGCTGGTGAGCCATGTCAAGGAGCTGGTGAGCCATGTCGAGGAGCTGGTGAGCCATGTCAAGGAGCTGGTGAGCCATGTCAAGGAGCTGGTGAGCCATGTCAAGGAGCTGGTGAGCCATGTCAAGGAGCTGGTGAGCCATGTCAAGGAGCTGGTGAGCCATGTCAAGGAGCTGGTGAGCCATGTCAAGGAGCTGGTGAGCCATGTCGAGGAGCTGGTGAGCCATGTCAAGGAGCTGGTGAGCCATGTCAAGGAGCTGGTGAGCCATGTCGAGGAGCTGGTGAGCCATGTCAAGGAGCTGGTGAGCCATGTCAAGGAGCTGGTGAGCCATGTCGAGGAGCTGGTGAGCCATGTCAAGGAGCTGGTGAGCCATGTCGAGGAGCTGGTGAGCCATGTCAAGGAGCTGGTGAGCCATGTCAAGGAGCTGGTGAGCCATGTCAAGGAGCTGGTGAGCCATGTCAAGGAGCTGGTGAGCCATGTCAAGGAGCTGGTGAGCCATGTCAAGGAGCTGGTGAGCCATGTCAAGGAGCTGGTGAGCCATGTCAAGGAGCTGGTGAGCCATGTCGAGGAGCTGGTGAGCCATGTCGAGGAGCTGGTGAGCCATGTCGAGGAGCTGGTGAGCCATGTCAACGAGCTGGTGAGCCATGTCAAGGAGCTGGTGAGCCATGTCAAGGAGCTGGTGAGCCATGTCGAGGAGCTGGTGAGCCATGTCAAGGAGCTGGTGAGCCATGTCGAGGAGCTGGTGAGCCATGTCAAGGAGCTGGTGAGCCATGTCAAGGAGCTGGTGAGCCATGTCAAGGAGCTGGTGAGCCATGTGAAGGAGCTGGTGAGCCATGTGAAGGAGCTGGTGAGCCATGTCAAGGAGCTGGTGAGCCATGTCAAGGAGCTGGTGAGCCATGTCAAGGAGCTGGTGAGCCATGTGAAGGAGCTGGTGAGCCATGTGAAGGAGCTGGTGAGCCATGTGAAGGAGCTGGTGAGCCATGTCAAGGAGCTGGTGAGCCATGTCAAGGAGCTGGTGAACCATGTCAAGGAGCTGGTGAGCCATGTCAAGGAGCTGGTGAGCCATGTCAAGGAGCTGGTGAGCCATGTGAAGGAGCTGGTGAGCCATGTCAAGGAGCTGGTGAGCCATGTCAAGGAGCTGGTGAGCCATGTCAAGGAGCTGGTGAGCCATGTCAAGGAGCTGGTGAGCCATGTCAAGGAGCTGGTGAGCCATGTCAAGGAGCTGGTGAGCCATGTCAAGGAGCTGGTGAGCCATGTCGAGGAGCTGGTGAGCCATGTCAAGGAGCTGGTGAGCCATGTCAAGGAGCTGGTGAGCCATGTCAAGGAGCTGGTGAGCCATGTCAAGGAGCTGGTGAGCCATGTCAAGGAGCTGGTGAGCCATGTCAAGGAGCTGGTGAGCCATGTCAAGGAGCTGGTGAGCCATGTCAAGGAGCTGGTGAGCCATGTCGAGGAGCTGGTGAGCCATGTCAAGGAGCTGGTGAGCCATGTCAAGGAGCTGGTGAGCCATGTCAAGGAGCTGGTGAGCCATGTCAAGGAGCTGGTGAGCCATGTCAAGGAGCTGGTGAGCCATGTCAAGGTGCTGGTGAGCCATGTCGAGGAGCTGGTGAGCCATGTCAAGGAGCTGGTGAGCCATGTCAAGGAGCTGGTGAGCCATGTCAAGGAGCTGGTGAGCCATGTCAAGGAGCTGGTGAGCCATGTCAAGGAGCTGGTGAGCCATGTCAAGGAGCTGGTGAGCCATGTCAAGGAGCTGGTGAGCCATGTCAAGGAGCTGGTGAGCCATGTCAAGGAGCTGGTGAGCCATGTCAAGGTGCTGGTGAGCCATGTCGAGGAGCTGGTGAGCCATGTCAAGGAGCTGGTGAGCCATGTCAAGGAGCTGGTGAACCATGTCAAGGAGCTGGTGAGCCATGTCAAGGAGCTGGTGAGCCATGTCAAGGAGCTGGTGAGCCATGTCAAGGAGCTGGTGAGCCATGTCAAGGAGCTGGTGAGCCATGTCAAGGAGCTGGTGAGCCATGTCAAGGAGCTGGTGAGCCATGTCAAGGAGCTGGTGAGCCATGTCGAGGAGCTGGTGAGCCATGTCAAGGAGCTGGTGAGCCATGTCAAGGAGCTGGTGAGCCATGTCGAGGAGCTGGTGAGCCATGTCAAGGAGCTGGTGAGCCATGTCAAGGAGCTGGTGAGCCATGTCGAGGAGCTGGTGAGCCATGTCAAGGAGCTGGTGAGCCATGTCAGGAGCTGGTGAGCCATGTCAAGGAGCTGGTGAGCCATGTCAAGGAGCTGGTGAGCCATGTCAAGGAGCTGGTGAGCCATGTCAAGGAGCTGGTGAGCCATGTCAAGGAGCTGGTGAGCCATGTCAAGGAGCTGGTGAGCCATGTCAAGGAGCTGGTGAGCCATGTCAAGGAGCTGGTGAGCCATGTCGAGGAGCTGGTGAGCCATGTCAAGGAGCTGGTGAGCCATGTCAAGGAGCTGGTGAGCCATGTCGAGGAGCTGGTGAGCCATGTCAAGGAGCTGGTGAGCCATGTCAAGGAGCTGGTGAGCCATGTCGAGGAGCTGGTGAGCCATGTCAAGGAGCTGGTGAGCCATGTCAAGGAGCTGGTGAGCCATGTCAAGGAGCTGGTGAGCCATGTCAAGGAGCTGGTGAGCCATGTCAAGGAGCTGGTGAGCCATGTCAAGGAGCTGGTGAGCCATGTCAAGGAGCTGGTGAGCCATGTCAAGGAGCTGGTGAGCCATGTCAAGGAGCTGGTGAGCCATGTCGAGGAGCTGGTGAGGGCAGCTGGTGGGTAAGAAAGGGGCATGTACCACGGCTGCCTGTAGCAGGGCATCCTAGTCATCTTGCGTTTGTGTGGGGGGGGGTGCTCTCGATCCTCTATCTGTTCTATCGCTGCGATGTGTGATGCCAGCAAGCATCGCCTCACCTCATCCCAGCCCCCACTGACTCCCTCCCCTCTGTGCGCCGTGGTGCGGTGAGGGCAGATCCCGGAGTGGTTCTGTCTGCCGGAGATGTTCACCAACATCAACGGGCTGCACCTCGGCTCCACCCAAAAGGGCCACGTCATCGGTCAGCTCCCATCCCATCCCATCCCATCCCATCCACCCACCTGCTCATCTCCATTTTTTTTTTTTTTTTTGCGATGGTGGTTGGTTTCTTCTGTTGTTTCCACACCACCTCACTCTCCCCTCCCCTCGCACCCCAACCTTCCTTCACCTCCCCTGTCCCCCTCCCCCACCCACCTCCTCACCCCCCGGCCATCATTGTGCCGCACTGCACGGCACGGCACCAGGGGACGTGAAGCTGCCGCCATGGGCTGCCAGTGCAGCGGACTTTGTGCGCAAGCAGCGGGCGGCACTGGAGAGCGAGTATGTCAGCAGCAACCTGCACCATTGGATCGACCTCATCTTCGGGTACGTGCTCCGTTCGATCCACCTCTTGAACTCTCCCCTGTCTTTCATGTTCAGCGGGTCATGCCTCTCATGCGGGTTACTCCTTTCTTCCCTGCTCACATCCTGTTGCCCTGTGGGTTGCCCCTCCTGCGTGTGCTCACCCACGTGGCAGGTACAAGCAGAAGGGCAAGGAGGCCCTGGCGGCGCACAACGTGTTCTTCTACGTCACCTATGAGGGCGCTGTTGACATCGACTCCATCACCAACCCCGTCAGCCTCCTCTCCTCTCCTCTCCTCGCTCACGCTCTCTCCCCCTCTGCCCACCCACCATCACCTTACGTCTGAGCCATCACGTCCCCACGAGCCATTGACGAACTGTCGTGCACTCGCCCACTCAGCACCTTGCCATGCAAGCATGCTACCACCTGGCAGCTTTTCGTTCTCCTCTGCCCTTCGCAGGCACTCTCTTGCTCAACCATGCACGTTTTTTTCCCAGCCTCCCTGACCTCCCTTCATCTCCTTGCTCCCACCACCCCCCCTCCAGATCGTGAGGAGGGGCATGCAGGATCAGATTTCCTACTTCGGCCAGACGCCCTCACAGCTGCTCACCACGCCGCACCCACCACGCATACCGCTGGAGTACGCGCTGCACCTGCACACTGTGTTCCGCAAGCCCGATGAGATCCTGCCGTACGTGCTGCCACACCCCGACACCCTCAATGTCCCCGCCAGCCGCATCGTCGCCACCTCAGATGCCATCGTCACCGTTGATCTCAATGCTCCTGCTTGCCACGTGGCGGTGCACCAGTGGCAGCCCAACACCCCGGACGGCCACGGCTGGCCGTTTTTGTTCCAACCCGGGCGGTCTTCCCTGACAGGTAGTGCCATTCTGCGGATGCTGACGGGGGCTGCGCTGGGCGGCAAGGGCAGCAACAGCGAGACATCCCTCTATCCGCGCCTCGTCGCCCTCCCTGCTCCGGGGATAAAGCACACGTCAACAGCAGCAGGCGCGGTGGGAGGGGGAGGGGAAGGGGGATCTGGTGGGGGAAAGGAGATCATAGCGATTTCCCCGGACGGCAAGTTTCTGTTCACGGGCGGGCATGCGGATTTCTCTGTGAAGCTGGTGTCAGTGGACTCGACTCGCGTGCTGGAGACCGCTGCTGTGCATGGCGGCCCCGTGACCTGCCTCGCCCTCTCCCCTGATGGCGCCACTCTCGCCACCGGCGCCACGGACGGGGTGGTGCTGCTGTGGCGAGTCAACCACGCCACCGCGCCCTTCCCTTCCTCCCCTGCCGCCGGGGTCACGGCTGGCCTCGTGGCTGCTGGCGCGGGGGCGGGGGGGCGTGTGGCCAGGCGCAGCACTGCAGCACCCACGGGCCCGCACGACCCTGCTCTGGCTGCTGCCGCTGCAGCGGTGTCGGCTAGCGAGGAGCGAGCAGGCAGCATGGCAGTGGGAGGAGCGGATTACCCCGAGCGGGGAGGCGGGGGTGGCATGTCGGAGGCGGCACTGCTGCTGAGCGCAGCCGGGGGCATGGGCGGGGCGGGGGGGCTGGAGGCGCCGAGGAAGTGGCGGCGCATGGAAGGCCCCGTGCAGGTGCTGCGGGGCCACTTGGACACGATCCTGTGCTGCGCCGTGTCTTCGGACCTCGACCTCGTTGCCTCCTCCTCCCGCTCCCGCGGTGTGCTCCTCCATTCCCTCATGAAGGGCCGCTTCCTGCGCCACCTGCCGGGGGTGGGGCCGGCGGACCTGCTCGCCATCTCTCCGGAAGGGGTGGTGGTGGTGTGGGAGCGGCGGCAGCGGGCGCTGCGGGCGTTCACGATCAACGGAGCGGCGGTGGCGGGAGTGAGGATATCGGAGGAGGATGGCGATGTGAGCAGCGTGCAGGTGTCGAGCAACGGGCTGTTTGTGGCCGTGGGCACGGACTGCAGCCGCTGGCGGCATGTGCGGGAGAAGGAACGGCAGAAGGAGAGGGAGCGTGCTGCTGTGATTGCCGGGGAGAAGGTGGGGCTGGGGAAGGCTGGGAGCTTCAAAGAGGATGCGGGGCGCCGGAGGGATGATGGGGGTGAGAAGGGCGAGGGAGGGGAGTTGGAAGGGGAGAAAGGGGAGGCGGGCCGTGGGCAGGGGGAAAGAGGAGGGGAGGTAGGCGAGGGGGGGAATTCAGGCGAGGAGAGGAGGGAGGGAGAGGGCGAGAGGAGGGAGGGTGGGGAGGTTGAGGGAGAGGGTGGAGGGGCGGCAGCAGGGGAGGGTGGTGCACTGCCGGACTGGCGGAACACGGACGAAGGGGGGTCACGGAAGGAGCGCGGATCAGCGGTCTCACTTCTTGACCTCTTCTCCCTCAAGGTGCGTCTCACCTCCTCCTTAAGCTGCACCTGTACCAGCTGCATTCCAATGCCTCTCGCCCATGCCTGCCTCTACTCTCTCCCATCCCCCTAACAAGCCTTCTTAAACCTCTACTCTATACTGTATGCCCCATCCCCTTACAAGCATCTTTTCGTAACACCAGCCCCCATTCCCCCAATCCCTCTCGTGCGTGTGCCATGCGCCATGCTGGCAGGCGCTGTGTCGCTTCAAGCTGCCGGAGGGCACGGATGTGACGGCGCTGGCACTGTCAGCGGACAACACCAACCTGCTCTGCTCCACCTCCGCTCACCTCGCCCCCGGCCAACTCATCCTCTACAGCAACCCCCTGGTACGCCTCTAGCAGCTGCAGCAACCCCCTGGTACGCCTGGAGCAGCTGCTCTGCACTGGCCTCTTACACATCAACACTGGCAACAGCTTCTTCCCTGGTACCAGTACTAGCTCAACAGTTGTGGTTGTTCACCCCTTACTCCCGTTTCCACTAACCCCCATCTCCTCCCCACCTCACTCCCATTCTCTTTCCCTCCAATTGCACCCTTGGCCTGCCCCACTCTCCCCCCTCGTCCCCGTGCAGCTGAGTGTGAAGATGGTGGATCAGATGCTGCGCCTGGGCTGGGAGGGCAGTGAGTTCGCCAGCATCTTCTGACCCTGCCTGCTGCTCTCATGCTGGCTTATGACAACAGTATATGCCCCGTCATGCACATCACCTGAGACTATGCCATACACTCACTTGCGTTTGCATTACCGTAGGCAGCATTGTCCATGTGCAGTAGGAATGAGGGGTGTAGTGTAGGTTGCATTTGTGAAGTTTCAGGGGGCTCATGGAACAGGTGTTACCAGAGCTCTTTCTAGGTTTTTTACCCGCCTGCATCATACATGCTCTGAGTTTTTACTTTTTTATGAATCATTACTTTAAAAAGATGTTTCTCAACCTTATTTCAACCGAATCTGAGAAAAATATGCGTTCTTGTTTGCTTGTTGGAAAGTTTAAAGAGTACTCCAAGGCTTGATGTAGCGCTTCTTTCGTTTTTTTGTATCATGTTGGTTGGGCTGATTAGGTCATCATGGCTGTTGCTGTGTTTGCTAGTTCTGTAATTATTTTCTCACATTATTCTCTTGTACTGCATGTGTAAAACGGGACGCACCAAACGTAGTGAAACTGAACGATAGACATCCCCGGTACAATGCGTCTCAACGTCCGAGTCGCGCCATATATGCACACACCTGACGAAACTGACGAACTTTGGTCCAGGCAAAGAGGAACGTGGGGAGAGGAAAGAAACGGTGAAGGCGAGGGGGAAGGGGAGGGGGGGACAGTCGGGCAGGGGGGCGAAATGAGGTCGGCGGCAGCCCTGCAGCCGACCCTTCGGCGCATCCGTGCTTTCCCCTTGGCTCTCTCCGTCGTCCAGCCGACCATGTGGTGGAGACGGGGGGGGAGGGAAGGGGGTTGGGAGGGATGGGGAAGTGTTGTACCACAAAGTCGTTTTATGAGTGCGGTTGGCGTTTTTGTGCGACAGGGCGAAGCCAGTCGTACTCGTACATTCGGTTACAGCTGAGCCGTCCTTCTCGCCAGAATGCACCAAAAACACCACTCCAGATATACGAGCTGTCGCAACGTCGCCGCCGCTTTCGCCTCCCTGCTTGGCGTGCTTCCATTTTCTGTTGGCTGCATTCGTTTCCGCCCATCTGCCCTACCTTGGCAGCCTTCAGGTAAAAGGCAACGGAGTGATGATGATGACCTCTGCCTCGTGAGAGTGGCGAAACGCAGAATATATCTCAGCCGACAAGCGAGTCCGCCCGGGGGAGCTCGCTGCCCGCGGGCAAAAAAAATAAACCCCAGAAGGGCATGCATCCGGTCAGGGAGGCATCAACCCTAAACACCTGGAGGCATGGTGTTTAGGGTTGAGGCTCCCTCGGATGGCATGCCATCCGATGGGGTTTTAGTTTTTTTCTGCCCGGGGCAGCATGTCGTCAAGTCGTCAACAGGTCGTCAGGCTTGACGACCCGTTTTGGCTGAGATATTCCGAAGGGGTTGTCTGTCACGGGGAAGGCCGACACACGACCTCCCAGGCAGAGACGCGATGCCTTCACTTCCTGACCGACACTCCCCATTCCTCCCAATCTGGTAACCTTCCCTCCAGTGTATTGATTAACGGAGCGAGATATTTTGGAGCTTTGCTAGCCGTAATAGACGGTGCATGCAGCCCAATAAGTTGACTCCCACCACTCTCGCACGCATGCCTGATTTTACCCTCGAAGCAACGCGTCCTCGCATTGTACGTCAGTCGACCAGCGTTGAAGCTAAATGGAATCCAAGAGCTTCTTGACGAGAGTAGTAGTGCCTTAGCGTCCCACCTCACCCCAAACATCGCGTGCACCAGCAGTCCGTCCGAGTACTGCCTTAGCGTCGCGCCCTCGCTGTGTGCTCTGCTCGCCCTGCCTAGTCCATGCGCGCCCGTCGCTGCCCTCCCCACGCCGATCCGCGCGCGCCCATGCCGACTCCTCCATCGTCGCACTGCCCTCGCTGATGCTCGTCGCACAACGGTGGGCGATCGCTCAACGCCTTCGCAGCCATGATCGTCGCGAGAGCCACTCCGCCAGCATGCCGCGCTCCCCTCCACCGCCTAGAGGCCACTCGTTAGTCGCGCGCTCGCGGTCAAACTTGTCGCACGGCGTCGCGAGCTTCAGCCCGTCGCAGCGATTCAGCCTGCGAGCAGCCAGCGTTGTCGTCGCTCTCCTCGCGTTGCTCGCGCTTGCATCGCCCCGCCCGTGCGCCGCGCGACGACCGCTCGGCTTTAAAGTGCATCAACCGCCGATTGGCGAAGAGAAGAAAGGGGGCGGAAACAAGGGTGGGGGAAACAAGGGCGGGGGGAACAAGGGCGGGGGGAACAACGGCGGGGGGAACGGGGGGGGGAACAACGGCGGGGGAAACAACGGCGGGGGAAACAAGGGGGGCGGAAAGGGTGGGGGGGATAAAGGGGGCCCTGTGAAGGGCATCGGGCTTCAACCCTTGTCGTGTTACTTCGCCACCAAGGTACTTCGCCACCAAGTTTTTCGCCAGCACGATACATTCGTGCGTGTCTGGACCAAGGGCATGCGAGCGGTGCATGGGAGGGCGTGAGAGCGGGGATTGGGCATGCGAGAGGGTCCAATTGAGCCCGTGTGCTTCCCCGCGCGTTGTCGCACGTCCATCTTCACGCATGCAACTGTCGCACGCGCATGCACATGTCGCATGCCTTGATAGCCCTTATCGCATGGCCTTATCGCTTATTGTCGCGCGACGCTCACAGACGCCATGCCCCCATACGCGCACATGTTCACTGCCACGCGCGCTCTCACATGCCCGTGGGGACCCCGGTTCATGCTGTTACTTGACGTGTCAAGTCCTCGCCTCTCCATACCTCACCTTCCGTATGTCGACCCCCCTGCCCCCTCGTGCCCCCTCGTGCCCCCTCGTGCCCCCCGTGCGCCCCTGCGTGACCGCAGGCGTGCGACTTCGTGTTCAACCGGTCGGCGTCGCTGGCGCCCATCCTGCCGCTCGTCGCCATGCGCCCCGACCAGCCCATCTCCTCCGCCATCCTCCACAAGTCCGCCCCCCCGCCCCGCCTCTCCGCCACCCCGCGCGCCTCATCCCTGCCTCTCCTTCCCGCACCCCTCCTCTCCTCCCCTCCCTCGCACGCGCGCACGCACGCATGCACGCATTACTCTCTCTTACACACATCCTCATGCACACACTCTCGGTTTTTGTCACCACTCCCTCTCACACTCACAAGCACTCACCCTCACGCATACACACTCACTGGCCCTCTCACTCACTCGCACACTCGCCGTGTTCTCCTCCCCGTGCCCCCCACCACATGCGCACCATGGGCATGGAATGGGCATGGCAGGGCGGGCAGTCGCCCCGTGGTGTCGGCGTCTCTGCAGACCTGCCGCGCCCTCAACACCCTTGCTGTCAGTCGCCCTCGCCTCCCTGCCTTTCCCTCGCCACATCGCACCACCATCCCCACATCGCACCACCATCCCCACATCGCCGTGCTTCCCCCATCACATACTCACATTGCGCATTCCTCCCTATGCTCCCTCTTCCCCACACCTCTTCCCCACACACCTGTTTCCCACATCTCGATTTCCGCACTCCTCTCCTCACCCCTGCTCCACCACCCTCGTACTCTCCACCCTCACTTCCACTACTCCCTGGCCACACTCACTTCCACTACTCCCTGGCCACACTCACGTCCACTACTCCCTGGCCACACTCACTTCCACTACTCCCTGGCCACACTCACTTCCACTACTCCCTGGCCACCCTCACTTCCACTACTCCCTGGCCACCCTCACTTCCACTACTCCCTGGCCACCCTCACTTCCACTACTCCCTGGCCACACTCACTTCCACTACTCCCTGGCTACACTCACTTCCACTACTCCCTGGCTACACTCACTTCCACTACTCCCTGGCCACACTCCTCACTTCCACTCCACGGCCCCCCCGCTCACCCGCTGCCTGCTACCCTCTCTCTGCCTGCCCTCCCCTGCATGGCACCATGACCACGGTTCATGACTGCAGCTGCGCCTGCCGTCGTGTCCGTCCTTCTCCTTCGTCTCCCCATCTGCTTCCAGCACTGGCGTGCGCATCGCTGGCAAGGCCCTCTCTCTCCTGCAACTCGCTGTGAGTCATGCCAGCCATGCCAGCCATGCCAGCCATGCCAGCCATGCCAGCCATGCCAGCCGTGCCAGCCATGCCACTCATCATGCCACTCAATGCAGTCAAGTCAAACAGCGTTGCCTGGCCTAACTCTCTCCAGTCGCCCTTGCCTGCATGGCCGTGTGTCTCCTGCCTGTGCTTGGCGCCGGCAGCAATACAGTGGGGCGTGCTTCACACTCGAGTTCGGTCAGATGATGGTCAAGGTCGGCAGTGGCCCGCGTGGCATGACGCGATTGGTCCGTGGCGATGGCAATGCGGAGTTCCCTGAGGTCAGTGCCCTCTGCTGGCCCCTACAGTCCCCCATCATTGCGCCCCCCCCACCACTGCCCTGCCCCCTCCATTGCCTCCCACACTGCCTCCTCCGCCCGTAACCCATTACTCTTCTCGCGACCCATGCTGTCAAGCCCTTGAGCATCGTGTTTTCTTGTCTTCATCGTCCCACTGCCCCTGCACTGCACGCACTGCCTGCTCTGCACGTCAGTACCACGGAGATTGATTGTTGTTGTATCATCTTGTATCCTCGCACTCGTACTTTCAAGCTGCTTGACTCACCTCGACTCGCCCGTGTGTGTGTGTGTGCCACTGTCTGTCACCATCTCTGTCCATGCATGCACGGTCCTGTGTGTCTGTGTGTGCCTGTGTTTGTGCTGCACATGTGTCTCTATGGTGTCTGCCCTGTGCCTCTCTGTGTGCCCTGTGCCTCTCTGTGTGCCCTGTGCCTCTCTGTGTGCCCTGTGCCTCTCTGTGTGCTGTATGCCTCGTGCCCATCATCAGAGTCGGCGCTGTATTGTCTTCCGCGCCCTCTGAAGCCGCTTGAGCCTGCTGCGTCTCATCTGCTGCTGCTCCGGTGTCGCTCCTTTGTTGCCACCTGCCTCGCGCACGCCAAAATCACTAACTGCCTCGTTCCCTCTCTCACACACCCCTTCACTAAGAACCATCTCGCTCCAAAGGGCCACATGCAGCAGCGGCATGGTGCCAGCCAGCCATGCGGGAGAGCAGTGCCGTGCACGAAGCACCTGACGGTCTACGGTTGGCGCCGCTGCCACGGCGCACCGTTTTTACCCTGAGTGCTCTCTGGCCACCACCAGCCTGCGCCTGTGTGCTGCACAGCCCTCGTCACTGGCCCTTGTCTGCCGCGCTGTTGTACCTCTCCTCCTCTCTGCACATCACTGGTCGAGCCAAGCCGTGTGGGCAGCTCTCTCTTACCCTGCAGCTGTGCGGGCTCTCTCCTTGCTCCTCACACTCCACCCACTTGGCTGGCCGCAACGCGAACCACACACTGGCCTCGTGTCACTATCATGGCCAGGCTCCATCAAATTCAAACCCTAGTCATCGTTACCACCGCTATCATCACCTCGAGCCCCCCAGAAATCATTGTGCCACTTTTTTGTGGAATTGTTTTCCCATATTTAGCTCATGTCATGTCTCAAATATAAATATGAATAGTATAACCCATGATTGTACACGTAGAACTGGTACCATCCCGTTCTTTTTCAGTTTTCTAATAATACCATGTGTTCCTGTTCTGCCAAGGTTTTAACCAAAAGTGTTTATAAATAGCATGCATGCAGGTACATTAATAACTACCATAACTACACTTGAGGAACCTAAACTAACCAACTAAGCAGCACACTACCAGCAGCATCATCCCGCCTCGGTCATCACATGGCCCAGCCTCTCTGACCCATTGGAGAGCACGAGAGCAGCTTCAGTCGTGTAAGAGATCCTCCCACAATCCAGCCTCCATGCTCCAATCCACCAACCAGTTGCTACAACACCCTGACCAGCAGGGTGCAAAAAATGTTGCCGCCTTCCTCCCCACTGTCCACCACCCCGTGCCTTCCCCAGCTGTACCTTGGCTGCTCTCTGCTCGCTCAAATCAACCCCACCCTCTCACTCTCCACCTCATACTGCACCTCTCACGGCCTCCAAGGAGGCCTTGCTGCTGCTGCTGCTGTTGCCTTATTTGCCCTGATAGGCCGCCTTCCCCTGCATTCCGCACCGCCATTCCTTCTCTCCTGCTGCTGCCTTGTGCTGCTGCTTAATGTGACTACAGGACGGGTTACCACAGCATCGGCCGTCCCCAGAGTTTTCACCGCAGCAGGTGCAGTCTTGGCTGACCGTGGCTTGGGAATGAGGGACGGCGGCAGGCATGCACTTGCTGCTGCCGGCCTCGTCCCACGCTTCACAGCACCTCCTGCACTGCCCTTACTTGGCTTGGGGATGCGGGAAGGCAGCTCTCTCAACCTGTCTGTTGCCATTCTCGAAACTGAACCCTTGCCTGCAACAGACCGAGCTGTGCTTGCAGTGGGACCCACGGCAACAATCACCTCTGCAGTCCCTGCTGTAGACACCGCTGCTGCAGTCTCAGCCATTTCTTTGAACCCTCCGTTGCTGACATTTTTCAAGGTGCTGAAAACACCACTCAGCACCTCCCTGGTGACTTGAGCCCAAGCCATGGTGAAACTGAAACTGCTGCTGTGATTGTCACCGCTGCAAATTCCGATTTTAGAGATGCTCGCCTTCTTGGCCACGCCACCGTCGCTGCAGCTGCTGCTGGACTCCTCTGCAGCCTCAAGAGGAACCTCTGTAGTCTCCGTCAGGCCCTCAGCAGCACCAGCAACACCTTGTGAGGCTTCAGGAGCGTACGTTACAGGTTCATAAGACGTCTCTTCCGAAATGTCCTCAGCACCAGCAGAAAGATCTTGTGAGGCTTCAGAAGAGTACCTTGCAGCCTCATAAGACGTCTCTGCCGTCACAGAGGAGCCTTCTGGAGCCTCGGAAGACTCCTCCGCAGCAGAAGAGGAGTCCCACGCGGCGTCGTTCCACGTGTCCTCTTCCTCAGCAGCCAGATACAGAGGTGTGGAGGTCGGAACTTGAAGCACTGATTGCGTGAGTGCAATCCTGTTCCTAAAGAGGGCTAACGCTTCATAGAAGGTAGGATAACCAGCAGAATAATCAGCCATAGTTGAATCGAAGTTGGAACGGTAAACGAGAAGCTACAGCCCTTGAAAGCGGAGATTAACGGTAGAGAATTTTGGTAACAATAACGAGGGTAGGCTAACGGTGCTGGTAATCTGAGAAGTATGCTCTGAGAATGGCTAGAGGGTTGAAGAAGAGGATGCGAATAATGCGAATTTGAAGAAGAGGCATGAGGCAGAGCAGAGGGAGGGTTGTGGGGAGGAGCAGCCGAGGGGACGAAATGGGAGGAACGAGAGCCTCCTGGAAGTGCTGCCGAACCGGCAGGGTCCGGGAATTCCTGAGCTCTGTGCTGGCATGCTGCCCGGGTCAAAATAATCAACTAGGGCATTCTTTGAAACAAATTGGTTGGCTAATCGACTCTCACGGGGGATTCGGACAAGAGCGGCGAGAAATTTTTGCGTTCCGCTGCCCTCTTTGAGCTCGGGATTTCTGCCTCAGAAGAAAACCGAGCCTCCTTGCGAGAGATCCGGCGGCTCGTGGCGAGGTGAACGCAGCGCACACCCCGAGCTTCGTTTTCTCCGAGTGAATGAAAATCTGGCAGAAACCTACTCTAGGTTTGGCAACGCCTAGCAGACTTGCTAGATCGGGAAACACACGCGGCATTTCAATGCCCGAGGAGCTGTCTAGGGTCGTGGTATGGTAGCGGCAAAACGAGCAGCCAAGCAAACGCTCCGTGAATTCAGCGGTGCTGCCCAAGAGATTATCAAGGGGACTTAGTGTTGGTGTTCCAAGATTTAGAACCTGTACTCGTTAGAGAGGTTCTCGTGACTTCTATTTACGAAGTCAATGTATACCGTTTCCATGTCGTGGTGCAAATCATCTCAGCAAAACTTGTATCCTTGCGCTTTCATTAGGGTGTTGGATTGGAATTGTGCTTCATGTAAACACCCTCCGTTCAGTCCGAACAGCCCCCAACGAACCCTGAACTCACGTAAGTTTTTTCGTTATTTAAAGAATTGGAGATTCCGCTGTAAACTTCACTTAGTAAATTCGAACGTTGTCGTCTTCTTGCTAACCTCAAGAGGACCCTATTTTGAGGGTAAAACTGACAGCACTGACATTTCTCGGGCCTAGCTCCTGAGATCGATGACTCCCGATATTCCTCCCTGACTCAGGTCACACTTTTCGTCATCCTTTACCTTCCTCATCCTCAGGGCGTGTCCTATGAGTTCATTTGGGGAGAAAATCATAATTTTTACGTAACTTCGAAAAAAGCAAAAGAGTGTACACTCTGCCGTGAAAAACACGAGGCGCGTCAGCACAGCGCCAAATGAAATTGACCCACGCGGCCTCATAGCCCCACCCATACAAAAATCGTCATCCGAACTTGGGCCGCCGAGCGGTAACTCGCCACAGTGCGAATTCTTAAAATAGGCTAGGAGACAAGTGTCGAGAGTGATTGTGAGTAAGGAGAGACAAGGAGATACAAATGTCGACCTAAAGTGTTGTACCCTTTAGAGGGCAACTCACTGTAGCCTATCTAACAATATATAGAATATATAAACATTTGACACACCCCCATAGGCTAAGTGAGGGGCATCAAAACAACCAACGGAAACAAAGGGTCACAAGACCAGTCAAGAACAAGCATAAAAAACAAAGCTCAGGGTGGCGCTCAGAGTCACCACACACTCCGAGCACAATCAAGTGGCCACAAGGCCAGTTCAAGAGTTTACTAGTATATATAGAGGCACAACAAGTAGAGCAAACAGCAAGTCTACAGCAACCGAGGGCCTACCTCAACAAGCCCCAACTGCACACAGAACCTGTGGTGGTCACCAGGCGCCAAGGCCTTGGTGAAGACGTCGGCAGTGTTGGCCTGTGAGGCCACAAAGTCCAAGCGTGCCTGGCCGCGTCGCTGCAACTCTCGCAGGAGGAAGTACCTCACGTCAATATGCTTCACTCTGCTCTCCAGTCGAGGCTCTCGACACAGGAGGATCATGGCCTTGTTGTCAGCGTACAAGGTCGGTGCAGAGCGAGGCCGCTCACCAAGGTCGGCGAGCAAGAAGGTCAACCAGCGAAGCTCCTGTGCCGCCATGGCACCAGCGTAGATCTCTGCCTCTGCACTGGAAGTAGCCACAGACGACGACCGTGTAGACCTCCACGACACAGCACCAGCTCCCAGACTGAAGCAGTAACCCTGAGTCGAACGCTGAGTCTCCACGTCGTCAGCGTAGGAAGAGTCGCAGTGACCAGTCAACGCCACTGGCTGAGTCCCTCCAAGCACAAGCCCCATGCCTGATGTAGTCACCAGGTACTTCGCCACCCTCACAGCAGCTGTCCAGTGGACAGGGCGGTGTCTCCCAGTCGCAACAAAGCGAGAAAGGATGCTGAGTGGAAAGGCGAGGTCCGGTCGAGTACAAGTCATCAGGTACATGAGGCAGCCCACCAGCTCTGCGTAGGGTCCACTGGACTCAAAGGGCTCGTCAGGAAAGGGGCCCGTGAGTCTGTGGTCAACAGCAAGAGGAGTGGGCTGTGTGGTGGAGAACTGGAAGTCGAACCGCCGAAGGACCTGCTGCACTATGTGTGACTGCGTCAGTGTGATGGTGCGAGCGGCTCTGTCCCGGGTGATCTGCAGGCCAAGGTAGCGCTGCAGCTCACCCAGGTCAGTGCATTTGTGTCTCTTCTGCAGTTCGGACTTCACCTGAGCCAGGGCTGCCCTGTCTGCTGTAGCAAACACCAAGTCGTCGACGTAGACAAGGATAAAGAAAGGAGTAGAACCCGCTCGAACAAACAGCGACGGGTCGGCGGAGGACGGGCTGAACCCAAGGTCACGAAGCGTGGAGCGAAGAGTGTCGTGCCACTCACAGGGCGACTGGCGGAGACCGTAGACTGGTCGCCTCAGGCTCCACTGGGTCCCAGGTGGGAAGGTGTCAGTGAAGCCAGGAGGACGGCGCAGCCAGATCTCCTCGTGCAGTCGGCCCTGGAGGAACGCAGTGGAGAAGTTGAGGGAGTGCAGCTCGTAGTCTCGCTGCGCTGCTATGTGGAGTAACACCCGAAGAGTAGTCATCTTCGGGGTCGGGGCGAAGGTCTGGAAGAAGTCAACTCCCTCACGCTGACTGAAGCCCCTAGCCACGTAGCGCGCCTTGAACACCGGCGGTGCTCCAGGCGGCCGCTTCACCTTGAAGAGCCACATGCCATCGACTACGTTCGCCCTGGGAGGGGGAACTGCGTCGACGTAGGTGCCTGTGGATCTCCAAGACGCCAACTCTGAGTCCATAGCCGCTTTCCACTGAGAGGCCCACGCCCCTGACACTGCCTCGCGGTAAGTGCGAGGAGTCGGTATGTCAAGGGCGTCGGGGTCTCCCTCAGGGGAGAGCAGCATGGCACACACAGAGGGAGAAGCGGCTGCCCAGTACTCCAGCTCAGACTCTCTGTCCTCTAGGACGTCACAGCCAAGGGCAAACCCACCCCCGACAGACAGAGGACGGTAGGGAGGAGCTGGCACCACACGGGTGGCGTAGTCAAGGCGGCTGGCGGCAGCAAACTCAGCGACAGTGGCAGTAAGAGCCGAGGCAGACGACGGAGGGAAACGAGAGTCGGTGACAAGAGTGGCGAGGACACGTGCGGCAACAGGACGAACAACGCGGTAGTAGTCAGAGATAGGAGTGGGGAGGGCTGGTAGGGAGGACGGAGGAGGAGACGGGAGAACGGACACAGGAGAAGGAGAACGACGACGAGACGAACAAAGGAGGGCAGTGTGGAGGTCAGTAACAGGGGACGAGTGACGAGCACGCGGAGGACAACGAGTGATCAGGTCGCGACGGACAGAGGGAGGAGGAGAAGACCAGACCGCCGGACGGTCGTCAGGAGGAGGCAACGGAGGAACAAACACAGGAGGAGACTGGGAGCGGACAGGAGGAGAGGAGGAAAGGCCAAGGGCCCGCAGGCCACTCACAGGTGGGAACAACCGCCGCTCCAGAGGAAGCTGCGGTGGCGGCTGCGGCCGCTGCTGCTGCGGCTGCGGCTGCTGCTGCTGCGGCTGCGGCGGCGGCTGCGGCTGCTGCTGCTGCTGCTGCTGCTGCTGCTGCTGCTGCTGCTGCTGCCGTTGCTGCTCCAGAAGGTCCAGCACCCGCAGCTCCTGCCGCTCCCTCTCCAACCGCTCCTGCTCCTCACGCTCACGCCGACGGGCAGCCTGGAGACGCGTGTCGTGGCGGTGGGGAGGCGGAGTGGACTCCGCAGAAGCAGGGTCTCCAGCGTCAGTCCCCTCAGACTCAGCACCCCCAAAACCAGCACCACCAGTGCCAGGACCTCCAACTCCAGCACCCCCAGAACTAGCACCGCCAGTGCCAGCACCCCCAACTCCAGCACCCCCAGAACCAGCACCTCCAGTGCCGGCACCTCCTGCTCCAGCACCCCCAGAGCTAGCGCCACCTGCGCCAGCACCTCCAGCTCCAGCACCCCCAGAGCTAGCGTCACCTGCGCCAGCACCTCCAGCTCCAGTACCCCGCGACCGAGCACCCCCAGACCGAGCACCGCCAGCGGCTGCACCTCCAGCTCCAACACCAACCGAGTCCACAGTAACCTGTCGCGGAAGTGCTGAAGGCTGCTGAGGGGACTGTGAGGAGGACTGCGGGGAGGGAGACGCTACCTGACGCGCGACCGAGGGTAGAGGGGTAGCGTGGGACACACCAGACGGGGCAGGACCAGGGGGGGGCGGGGGTACCGGAGGAGCGGGAGCAGGAGGAGGAGAGGGTGCGAGGAAGAGAGGGGGAGGGGGTACCGGGAGACCTCGACAGGGGTACCGGGTGTAGTAGGACACGGACTCGTCAAACCGGACGTCACGGGAGTCTAGGAACTGGTGGAGGGGAGGGTAGTAAAAGGACCAGTCAGCAGAGTCCACTGGGAAACCAAGGAAGACACAGGGGACGGCGCGTGCCGAGAGCTTGTCCGCGGAGGTGTCGCGAACAAGTGCAAGGCAGCCCCAGACTCGAAAGGCCGACCCAACGCCAGGGGATCCAGTCCAAAGACTGGTCGGTGAAGC